CTGTGAAATTCTCAAATGTATGTTCGAAGGATCCATCAAACCGGGAGACATCAGTGCTTGTGCCTCCCATATCGAAACCAATGATTGGCTGATTTTCCTCTGGGTGATAGCTCGTTCGTGCGTGGCCAACGACTCCTCCAGCAGGGCCGGAAAGAACAGCTCTTAGACCACTGAATCTATAGAAGCCGTTAGAAACGTTAAACCAAGGACAATAATCCTACTCACTTGTTGATGTCAACGAGACCGCCATCGCTTTGCATGAACTGACACTGTGTGTTTGATGCACTGAGACCATCTGTGAACCCAGCTTGGAAACCTTTGATGTATTCCTTCACAACAGGGGTGAGGTATGCATCTGCAGTAGCAGACATGCCTCGAGAGATCATCTTGATCATTGGAAGAGTAAGGCATGACAGCGTGACTTGATCAAACCCAATGTCAGAAGCGATTTTCTGAATTTCCAGCTCATGATCTAAAGTCGAGAGTTAGTGACGGGGGATAAACCAATAAGCGTGGGATGATCTCACCTTGGAAAGTGTAGGAATGTGCCAGACAAACACAGATGCTCCTGAAGCCTTCCTCGTAGAGATTCTGGAGGTCACGCTTGACCTTGTTCTTGTCTAATCTTTTTAGAATGCGTATCATTTGCCCATTGACACCTTTAACAAGGTCGGAATCATCTGGGGCTGCCTTCTCAATAGCCTCTATGTCAGCATCGTAGGATGGGCTTTGTTGATAGCTTTCAATGGTGACCCGCTCAGAGACTTCCACTACTTTTTCGTAAAGCACATCGGGCTTCCTGATGTGAAGGTCAAAGATCTTTGGCCGAGATTGCAGCCCAATCTTCAATGCATCAGAGAAACCCTCGGTGATAAGTAGTGCTACCCGGTCACCTTTTCGTTCTAACAGCGCATTGGTAGCCACTGTTGTGCCCATTCGAATGCTGAGGCTTCCGAAGAGAGAGGTGTCGATATTTTGATTCCGGGGAAATGACTTCCCGGTGGCCTCTTCTAAGATTCGGCGAATACCTTCTCTGGGAGCATCTGGATAATTTGCAGGATCTTGTGACAAGATCTTAACCAGGATGTTTCTTTCCTCGCTCCCTGGCCTACTGACTATGCAAAGACAATCTGTGAAGGTGCCACCTCTGTCTTTGACCTTGTCAGTATATTTCAGAATTGTAATTAAAGGGTGGAGATAGGTACCAATTGCAATTTTGATGTTCATCCTGGAAATTTCAGGCTCGTTGCCTACATCCATCATCGGCGACATTGTGATAGATTTGGAAACAGATATGGAAGAAATTTCAATGACTAAGTTGAAGAAGGAACTTCTCTCCTATCAACAGCACAGACAGATAGTTGGCCCGATTAATGGTTAAGTCTAAGAAAGATCTGATTGATAACTTCTTTGGATTTGTGAGGCAGCACCCTGGATAGATATATATTTCTTCAACTGTCCATGAGCGTTTCTCATATTGAGATGCTAATAGAACGAAGAACTGTGAATCCAATGGTTCGTGCTCTGCATTCGGCCCCGCGGCAGTACGCCGAAGCTAATGCCGTCGATCTGGGAGGGTGCTCAGCCAAGAGCATTGAACAAGACCAGATGTCCATTGCCTCTAAGAGGACCTAGAGCCGGAAACTCGACTCCGAGAACTGGATAGACGTCATTGCGATTGTCATCGAGGGGCCTTCGGAGCTGGATTGAAACACCGAGATAGTTTCTCCACCTTCAGTCTTTTGGTGGTCGGAGGGGGTGACTATCGCCGGGCAGTGGAGATCAAATATAACAGAGATGATATCAATCTAGGTTAGGCTGTATCTGCAATCAAGAGGAAGCCATTGGGGCGAATACCCCAGATCACCAGATCAACCCCGCATCTACAAACGATCTGACCAGATATGTCCTATCACAAGTAAACTGTTAGATGTTGACGTACTTGCCTGGATTGATGATTGTACATGTGATTTGGTACTCCCCTGGAGTTGATTACTACTCTTGAGTTCAGAACTTTTCACAATGTACTTAGTCAATCCTTTGGTCCAATTCACTTTATCCTCCTCTCCCAGAAGTCTTTATCAATGCACTATGTGCCTATCTTCAAACCCAGTTATTTGATACCCACACACACACCTCCTTTCCCCGCAAGTGGGTGACATTGGAAATGGCACACCTAAGCACTCCCTTATTAAGACATGCTTTACTATCTTTTAGAGCTAGCTATAGAAATACTGAAACAAGATTCAAAGAACAGAATATTCAGGCCTAAATATTAATATTCTCTAATCTCTATTTAGAACAACCTACTTATTTAGGTATTTGGATGTTTATTCGGGTGTTTATTGTGTGATTATTTAGGTCTTCGTTTGGGTGTGCCATTTCCAGTGTCACCCACTTGCCCCGGACTATGAGATACCTTAGGCAACCTTTATCATGCCCCCCTGTTCTACTGTGGATCTCTATGAGTCGCGTGTGGCTCTTTAAGTTCGTTGGCGTTCCTATTTTGTGCAAGACCCTTTTGAGGTTCCTCATGATGATTGGTGGCTCCCCCAAACTTGCACCCAGGGCAGGTCGAGGCGACGAGGATCGGCCAATGATTTGGATGACTACGGGGACCTCCTTGTACTAGACGTACATTGATCTTGTGTCTGGTCCTGTTATCGTTATCTTCTTTAGGAGAAAGCTTATCACCACTCTTACCCCATGTTCAGTAGATTAGGCTCGGCGAGCATCTCCATCGCCGACTTGTCACAAGTGATTGTTTTCCAAGACTGCCTAGCCCAAGAGTAAACTATATCCTTATCCAAATCAAGGACATGGATATTGGCAGATGAGCAGAAACTATGATGCGACCCCAGAGACTGATATCCCATTTCAATCGATTGTATAAATCTGTGCTTCTTCCCACCCCCAATCCGAGATTGTTACAAGCAAAAACTTGTGACCAAATTTCTGAGTTACATTTGGTAGAGTTTTCGTATTCTTACAAATTACTTCGTCTTCGCGATCCGCACGATGGCACAAGAGCCAGAGAAAATGACCGCTACAGAGAAAGTCAACAATGATACCGAGAGCCAAATTCAAGGTGAAGTTGCTTCTATCGCCGGCGGCAAGCTGGATGTAGCTGCCAAATTTCTCGCGGGCCTCGGTCCAGAGGTCACAGAGGAGCCGATCTCGACAAAGGAGGCCCGGAAACTCCTTTGGAAGATTGATTTGATCATCATACCCATCCTTACATTCTCCGTCATCATAGCGGCGGTGGATAAGATCATTATCTCCAACGCGGCTATCTACGGCATGAAAGAGGACACCCACTTAGTTGGTGACCAGTTTTCCTGGGTCGGCTCTATCTTCTACTTCGGTTTCCTGATTGCAGAATGGCCTGCCAATATCCTCATCCAAAAGCTGCCAGTTCGCACGTTCTACGGGGCCACTGTTCTCGCCTGGGGAATAATGACCTTTATCACGGCCTGTACCAGTAACTTTGCCGGTCTGGCTACTGTTAGATTTATTAGTAAGTTGGAATATCCACAAGATTTCTACAAAGGCTTTACTTCAAGTAATGAAAGGGGATTCTGACTTGCGATAACCAGTGGGTATTTTTGAGTCGGTTGTTTTCCCCGTCTGCACTCTTATCACTGCCATGTGGTGGACAGTTTCGGAACAGCCAATTCGTGTCGCTATTTGGTTCAACACCCTCTCCTCAATCATAACCGGTCTTCTGTCTTATGGAATTGGGCACGCAAAAACGAGTTTAGCCCCTTGGAGGCTATTGTTCATCGTTCTCGGAGCAATTACCACTGTCTGGGCGGTTATCATCTATATTTTCCTCCCCAGCTCCCCGGTTGAGGCATGGTGGCTCACCGACCGTGAGAAATACATCTGCCTGGAACGAGTTAGGAAGAGCAACACCGGAATTGAAGATAAAACCGTCAAGTGGTATCAAGTTAAAGAATGCTTGCTAGACCCTAAATCTTGGCTTATCTCAATCTTCGCCTGTGCAATCAACATTCCAAATGGTATGTGAGCTGATTGGATGATAAATCTATACACTATACTAACAAGCGGATTTTTAGGAGGTCTGGTGACTTTCGCGGCACTCATCGTGAACGGATTAGGATTCGAGCCTTTGATCACCACCCTTCTCGGTGTCCCAACTGGAGTCGTTGGCACGCTGTGGTCATTACTTTTCAACATTGCGGCAAGTCGCCTGCCTGGATATCGGTGCACTCTCATTGTCGTTTCCATCATCTTCCCGACCATTTCGGCCGTCCTCCTCTGGCAACTCCCTAGTGCGAACAAGGTCAATCTTTTGGGTGCATACTACGCCTTTTACTCTTACTGGGCTCCTTACACCATGTCTACCTCGCTTCCCATGGCAAATACCTCAGGCCACTCCAAAAAGGTCACTTTGAATGCCATGTTCTTTTTGGGTTATTGCATCGGCAATATCTTGGGGCCTCAGGTTTTCCGTGCGAACGACGCCCCGAAGTATCACCGTGGCTATATTGGCTTGTTGGCATGTCTCATCACGGGCGCTGTCACAATCTCCCTCTATGGCCTGTTGTGCAAGTTAGAGAATATGAAGCGGGACAAGTTGCAAGGAGGAGGACCAGTGCCACAGACAGAGGAGGAGCTACGCGAGGAAGCATTCTCTGACAAAACCGACAAGGAGAAGCCCAACTTCCGCTACGCCTTCTAATCGTGTTTGGACTGACAGAGTTGGAAGCTCCACAGAAGCTCTGGCGTTGTAGTGACTAGATAATTGATCTCTTATCTCTTAGATAGCCGCTGTCATACTTAAATAATGCTTTGGACATGGGTACATATTGATCATAATCATTCGACGAATGTTACTGTAGTAAAATCACAGAAGCTGAGATAGCACACTTTCTGATCCTCCAAGGAACTAGTAAGGGACATAATATGTCTTGGATTTAGTAGTTACTGCTTTGTATCTAGCTAGGATTCCTCTTGGAAATGCAAGTAAACCGAAGCTATTTCTTGTGCCGAGCGATGAAGGTCTTCCAAAACCCCGTATTCCAATCGTTGTCGGTGGGGCTCTCTCTTTCACCATACTCTCGTCGACCGGTCACCAAATCCACATCTTCAGGTCTCACCCATTTTGTGCGTTTGAAGATCTTCCACCATGTAATATTGAGGAGAAAAATGGCAGTGCCGATATACTTTAACACGAAAATATCCGCTTTGAAGTAAGGAATGAACGCATCGTATCCTGAAAAGACACATATATTGTTAGGCAAGATATTTCTGAAAGACTTGGATTCTGAAACTGTTGTTCCCACTTACCGCTGAAAAGGATAATTAGAATGCAAATGAACAAAGAATAATACGCCCCATAAGGTTGCAAAAGTCCGACATAGGGAAGTTCCTTTACAGAAATTCCCTGTGCCTTTAGTGCACGGCGAAAGCTGATGTAAGACACGAGCAAGGCGACCCAGTTCCAAACCGCAAAGATTGTGACCAGGCTGACCAAGTAGCCGAATACTGTTGATGCAGACTTGGAAGCGTTCATGAAACCGAGTGCGATAAAGCAGGCAGAAATAGCAACGCCGTAAATTGGACTCCCGCTCTTGACGGTTTTGGCAAATATTTGAGGTGCTTGACCATCTCTGGCCAATCCATAAAGGGATCTGGATGCACAGTAGATATCTATATGATTTGATTAGCACTATACAATTGGCATTCTTCTGAGGGCTAGTATAAAATATTCACCGGAACTTGCGCCGCTTAGTGTGAAGACAAGTAAAGAAGCGTTGATAATGTCCGGGAGGACCTTGATTCTACCGACGTTCATGGCAACAACGAAAGGAGAAGCAGCTATCCCGTGGTTAGCCATTTTGGTGAAGTGTTTATTGTATACAGTGGTATCTTCCTCACCAGCGCTTGTAGATTGTTTCGTCGCTCCCAGCAACTGAGGGTCGTTGTATGGAACGGCCATGCCTAGTACCAACACACCGAGAATATAGAAGACTGTAATACGCCAAAAGGTCTGGTTGACGGCCTTTGGGATGTTCTTTCGAGGGTTCGGGGTCTCGCCGAAGGTCATTCCTACAACTTCGCAACCCTATAGAACAGATCAGTAGCTGGGTTTGGTTTAAAAGGAAAAGCTTGCAATACAATGAAGGCAAACAAGGCCTGGCAGACACTTGCCCAGAAACCAAGGAAATATCCTTTTGGGCCATCCAAAAGATATTTGGCAAATGCTCCTGGGCTTTGCCAGTAATAGAACCCAGACCGAAAGTGGTTTGGAGCTCCGCCGAGTGAAACAACTAGGCAAGTCAAGATAAGGGTAGTCATAACTAGAATTTTGATGAATCCAAACCAAAATTCAGTTTCCCCAAAAGTGTTGACATGCAGCAACTATGAAATAAATTAGTTGAAGTTCGCAAGCCTTGATGGAAAGTACCTACGTTAATGAAGACAACAACAGCCCCAAACACAGCAATCCAAATGGCAACATTAAGGTCAGGCCTCCAATACTGGATGACTAACCCGGCAGCGGTTAAGTTTGTCGGAAGAACGACGACGTATTTGATAAAGTAATTCCAGCCAGTGGCAAAACTAAAGAATAGAGTCAATTATACAAGGGTTTTATCGATGTCGGAATGGAGCAAATCTCTCTTACCCAAGCGCCGGATCGACCATGCGAGTTGCGTAGCCACCAAACCCTTTGTTCATTGGTAGGAAAGCGGCCATCTCGCCAAGAGCCGTCATGACGAAAAAGACTGCAGCGCCCATCAGAATATATGCGATGAGCAGACTTCCCGGGCCGCCCTTGGTCAACGCAGGGCCAGTTCCAATGACCAGGCCAGTTCCAATTGCACAGGCAATAGAGAACATGAAGACCTGATGTGGTTTCAAGTCACGATGGAGCTCGTTGTCGGATATAACTTCGCCTTGACGATTGGACTCGGCCTTGGACAAATCCAGGCCATCTTCGGGCTTCTCTACGACCGGTACGGACATGGTCTAAGCTAGTGGTTGATGTGTTATATTTCGTAGGCTCGTGATGGGTTGGTTCATGAAGGATGAGAGTTGGAGGCATTCGTCTGAGGTTTGTTTGGATAGATGGCCTTTATACCTAAGAGGTTTTTTACAGATTCAAACCCCATAATCTGGGGTAGAGGTTGATAACGAGATGGTTCATCAGGTTTTGGTGTTACAAGTAGCGCCGGAAGCAGCATCCGAATTATTAACTCAGATATTGTGGTAGTCGACGACAGCCACGAGGCCTCCCCAGCCTCCATCCTAAATTGTGTGGGCAGTGAAACCTTGCACGACTCTCTATCCATTTAAGTAGGGGTAATGAGAAGCCAATGAGATTACTATGGTATGATTCGCGTGATAACGGCTCGTCATGGTACAGGTCGACAAGGTTCAGTGGCGTTATCCTTGTTCAGAGTTGGAAAAAACCGCCGCGATTTTCTTGATCAACACCAAGACAGGAGATAACATGATCCCCTCCCCCACATTATCTTATCTATGCTCTGTCATTACCCTGACTCGTGGGGTTCTCTGCTAATGTATGCACTATAGAAACGGATGTGCGGCAATCGGCTTCTCTCCCAGCTCGGATGCGTCGTGGTTTCGGGCACAAATATGTTCGGATGCCCCTATCCGAGCTCGGATGGTGTGGTGACTTCGGCCAAAATATGTTCGCCGAAGGTTTCGTAATCAATAGTTTGCAAATAATAAGGCCTGTACTTCCTCAATAGTTCCCCCGACAATCACTGCTATGTTTTCTGAGACCCCTAACCAACGTGGTGAAGTCACCTACCGTATCATCATTTCGTCATGGCTGATTTGTCTACTTGTCTTCCCTTGACCAGGGAGAGCGTCATCGAGGCCCACAAGGTCATCAAGCCCTTGGTTCATCTGACCCCTGTGTTGAGAAGTTCCGCCTTGTCAAAGCTTGCTTCTACCCCTCAAGATCCTACCGTCAGCGGCGTGGCGAACCCGGCCAAGCCCGTCATTCGACTTTCATTCAAATGTGAAAACTTACAACGCATCGGAGCTTTTAAAGCCCGGGGCGCTTTCTACGCTGTTGAAAAGCTGAAGCAAGAGCCTGGTTGGCTCGAAAATGGCGGCCTTCAAAAGGGCGTGGTCGGCTTTAGTTCAGGTAAGTAGAATCTTGTGTTGCCTGTCCCTTTGTCTATCTATTTTCTTGACTTCTAACGCCCTTTACTCGTGAATATAGGCAATCATGCCCAAGCCCTTGCTCTTGCAGCCAAAGAGAGTGGAATGCCTGCTTATATAGTCATGCCCGACATTGTACGTCCCAACAAGGTTGCCGCAACAAAGGGCTATGGAGCTGAGGTCACTCTTTGTGACCGGTTTGAACGAGAAGCTGTCGCTGCCAAGATCGTGGCTGAGAAGGGTGCTCGCCTGGTCCCGCCTTTTGACCACCCTGATATAATCCTCGGCCAAGGAACCGCTGGACTCGAGTTCCAAGAACAAGTCAAGGAGCTTGATGCTATCCTTGCCCCAGCTAGTGGTGGTGGTTTGCTTTCTGGCGTCGCTCTTAGCTGTGAGAACACCGGCATCCGCGTGTTTGGTGTGGAGCCAGAGTTCGAGGGTGCAGACGACATTCGTCGCGGGTTTCAGACCGGCGAGAGGATCACGTTCGTGAAGAGTGACACTATCGCCGATGGATTACTTGGTGTTGTTGGGGTCCACACGTGGAATCTCATATACACACGAAAGCTGGTGGCAGCTATGTACGCAGTGACAGAAGACCAGATCCTTGAGGCAACCAGGCTTATACTGGAGAGACTGAAAGTTGTGGTGGAGCCTGCCTCGGCTGTTGCATTAGCTGTTGTGCTCTATAACGAAGAGTTTAGGGCTATGGTTGAGCGAGAGGCTGGCGAGGCTGGATGGGATGTCGGTATTGTATTGAGCGGTGGGAACATGAGTGCAGAAGGATTTGCGAAATTGTTTGCCCCCAAGTAAAACACAAGCCTTCGATAGAAATTCATAGATCAACTTTGTTGTTATTGATTACAAGATGCTTGTTCATAGAGTAAGGACTACAGACTGAGATCCTATCACGCCTAATCCGAGGCCATTTGAAATCAAACAATCCTATTTCCAACTAATATGTCCGTAGAGAGGCCTTAGAGACCAGTTTTGCGAAAAGTTATTTTAGTCAGACGCATGTTTATGAAGACTCTCGCCCTCCGTATACTCATCATCTACTTACTGTAAAGGCAAATTTGATTTAACGAGTCATTGTTTTAAGCATAAAAAGCACTTTGTCTTAACAGATGCGAAGACGGGTAATTGTAAGACGAACTGGATGAGATAATTTTAACAAGGACATGCTGCCCTCGAACTGGGCCCAACCTAAAACAGTGGTTACCTCCCACGAGACAACATTTTTTCAAGCAATCTGATAGCCCTTATCTAATCCCTTGGACCGAAGAACGCTATAGAAAACGTGATAGCTTCAAAATCGGTCATTACCTGCACGGGAACCACAGTCTGATAACGGGTGGGTGGGAGGTTTGATGTGCGGCGTTCTACTCCGAAGTTCGGAAAGACTGATTGCCGGAGAACTCCTCGGATGCATCATCCGAAGCTATTTCGACCCACCGAGCACTTGATAATGTCCTTTCTGAGGGGTAATCCCAAACGGCCGTAGCAGGACTCACGGTGTATATTATGGCGCCGAGCAATTATTCCCACGCGTTACCATGCTTCAAAAACAAACATACCTTAGATCCGCCCAAAAAATACGATGACTCCCAACGGTGATGCAGTTCAACTACCCGCCGGAAGCACAAAGGGGTTTGCCAACTATCCTCACGGACGAATCGCCCCTGCTGGATCCCGCACTCTCTATATTTCAGGCACATCATCAAGGCGCGCCGATGGGACTTTCGATGGAGTGACCGTCAAGGCGGATGGAAGCTTGTCTTTCAGCGCTGAGGAACAGACAACGGCCATTCTAAAGAAAATCGAGGCCATCATAAAGCAGGCAACAGGAGGCACCGGCGGTCTTGAAAATATAATTGATGCCACTATCTTCCTGGTCAATATCACGGGCGACTATGCTGGAATGAATGCTGTTTGGAACAGCTTTTTCCCAGATGCAAATGCCGCACCCGCCCGCACGACCATCGAGGTCAAAGCACTGCCCAGCCCCAAGCTCATCGTCGAGATCAAGTGTACCGCGCTTGTTCCCTAAATATCGACACGGATCATGTCAAGCTCGCGATCTCAGTACTGAGCGATGACAATGTTTCCTCCTTGATTGAGATGATGAAGGGAAGAAAAGCTCGAGCGACAAGCTTTAGAAACTGCATGGAGAGAGAAGCTTTAAATGGATTATTGATACTCTTGAAAATAGACCTGTGTCTTCATGCCAAAATTGTTGACGAAGAGAGACTGCATTGATATGAATGTCATTAGTCCAAACTCAGAGGCTCAGTATGCTAAACATTCCTGCTTTCAACACCTCTGTACTCCGCAGCAACATCGTGTTTAAGCCCGCGACCTCGCTTGAGCCACCAGTTGATAACCGATCGGGAAATGATGGCAATTTTATAACAAATAACGTATTTGGCAAACAACTGCCGATAGCTTCAACTAGATATACGCATCTGAGAAGTGACATGGAAGACGAGAGTAAATACAGTAAGATAGTAATACAGACAAAAGCAATACTCTAAAGCGTCAGAACTCTTCCTTACTGCGTCATATCTATAGCCTGTAATCTATTTACATATTCACAGGGCTCTAAGAAATAGGTAAACATCCGCTACACCTTTATTAGACTATGAGCTGGCCTCTGAATATATTTTATCTTGATAACTGTTTATAGAAATTTATTTTGGTAGCAAGACCTATTACTCTGTCGTGAAAGATGTGATCTCCGCCATCAACTCAGTAGATGCTGGCAGAGTGTATACCCTTCCCCTGCTAAGCGAACAGCGATATGGGTGTTCAGAAAACGTGGCTAACTGACGGCTCAGCAGTGTGGGGGGCAAACTCGCGATCTCGCCTGCCGGCGCTTTTCCCAGACACCGACGGGGAAAGTTGGCTTTGCCGAAGTGCCTCGTCGTTATCAAAGGATGGGTGGAGTAACTTCCGCGATCGCTTCGACCTTCCTCCCATGTGTCCACACAAACCCCCGCAATAGTGGTGCTTTGCGTTATTTTGTTTCACAATCTTGCTGTAAATCCCGTTAGGCTTACTAGCCAGCGTCAAGTTGACAAGGCATTAATAATCTCAGCAACGGCAAAACAACAAGTGGCCGAAAAATGAGAGATTTAGCTAAAGAGGCTTATCAAGTCTGTGATAGAAATAGCCATTGAGAGTTGAGAGGCTTAGTAGTCTCATTTCCGAAGTATTCCTACACCTACTTCAAGCAGGGGCTATCAATTTACGTCAAACGCGGTCACTTACACGATGGCAGATATCAGCACATGCCCAAGTCTGTCAAGAACCTCTGTGCAAGAAGCAGCACACAGAATCAAAGGAAAACTACACCGAACTCCAGTCCTCTCTAGTAGCTATGTCGACAGCATTGCCAGTAGTCCCCAGACTACCGCAGCGCTGAAAGGGACGCCGTGGGAAGGACAGGAGCCATCTAGGCCTCGAATTCATATACTCTTCAAGTGCGAGAACCTGCAAAAGGTTGGGGCATTCAAGCCTAGGGGTGCATTCAATGCCATGCTCCGGTATCTAGAGGAGCAAAAAGCCCAAGGAAATGATCCGACAGACCAAAACAGCCCAGTTCGTTTCGTAACTCACTCTTCTGGTGTAGGTCTGACTTCGTTCTGTGGTACCCTAAGGATTCATACTAATTCATGTGTCGGGTGGCAGAATCATGCTCAAGGTGTTTCTCTCGCTGCCAAAGAACTTGGATACCCAGCTCACGTGGTGATGCCATCCATCTCCATGCCGGGCAAAATCGCTGCAACCAAAGATTACGGGGCAACGGTACACTTCAGCGGCCCAACACCACCAGAAAGATTTGTAATCGTGGACAGGTTAATGGATGAGCCGGGCTACAGAAGCGTTTTTATTCCACCATATGATCACCCTGATACTCTCCTCGGCCAAGGAACCCTGGGGCTGGAACTTCAAGAACAGGCCGATGAACTCCTTCCTGGAAGCGAAAGGTTACATGGAATCATCACACCCTGCGGCGGTGGTGGGCTGTTGAGCGGGGTGGCATTGAGTTGCCAGGGAACAGGAATCAAGGTCTTTGGTGCAGAGCCATCATTTGAGGGGGCCGATGACTGCCGCCGCGGACTTCTCGCCGGCCACCGAGTCGAACAAGTCAGAAGCCTGACAATCGCTGATGGTCTACGGACGCCTGTGGGGGAGATTCCATGGAAGATCATCAGCAACACAGACAATGTCCAGGGCGTATTTTCAGTGACCGAAGATCAGATACGCTCCGCTCTAGAATTAGTGCTACAGCGCATGAAGATCGTTATCGAACCAAGTTCGGCCGTTCCGCTCGCCGTGGTGCTTTATAACGAGGATTTCCGACGACTTATAGAGACTCAATGTGGCGACAGCACCTTCAATCTGGGTCTGGTAATCAGTGGCGGAAACGTAGAGTTGAGAAGATTGGCTGAGTTGGTCGGGTGAGATGATGCCTCATAGGGTTCAAAAATCGAGACTCTGATAGAGCTGCATAAAGACCTATCCGATCATACACTACCTAAAATTTTATTGCTGTCTAAAACGGGGTTCTATACGAGGAAGAGAACAGTCCCGATCTCACCGCGAAACTAGGTTGTTGTGGCTCATGACGAATACGACAATCTAATGCCTATCATTTCGATTAGGATATTTTTGCTAACAAGAAACGATATCCGAGTTGAAGCCTTCTATCAGGTGCGAGTTCCCGTGCCTCTTTTCGGTGGCAATTCGGTCGTTAGTAAGAAAAGAACTGAGTTTTTTGGAACAGCATATTTGAAGCACACCCTGGCTAAAATGTGGCTAAGAAGTCTCACGTGAACTGTATGTCAACGAGTCAGTTGAGTTCGGCTAGCAGGGAAGATGAGGGGGAACTGTCTCCCAGTACTCCGTAGATTGTGTCCTTATCTCTTGTAGCAGTCCCACTTGTCTTCCCCGCAGAACTGCTTTCCTGTAACCCATTTGATAAATAAGACGTGGATCGCTCGGCGATTGAAGCTGGGACCGAGCCGTATCAACCATCGAGCTCATGTGCCAACCATTAGAGAAGCAGTGCCATGTCTGACGACTCCGCCTCCTACTCTTTAGACCAAGAGTCAAATGAGAGTATAGCGCAAGGGGATGCCGAGCAGACTTTAACCTCCCTACTCCAGCGGCGAACTTCCCCCACCGCGTGTGTTCTCCCCTCCAGCCCAAGGTCCCTGTTCATTCTAATTCTTGCGATATACTTAGCTGCCGAAAATGCCACTCACGCAAGGTCAAGTGCTCTGGAGGTCAGCCTTGTAATGCCTGTCTGGCCAACAAAGAGGATGAATGCGTGTATCCCCGGCGTCAGCGAGTGATAAAGGTTACTCAGGAGTAAGTGGCTAATGTTGTTGATAAGCATGGCCTTGCAAGCTTACAAGAATTTGAAAAAGGGACCTCGAAAGCCTTCTCCGGGAAGTCCAACAGCTTCGCACGAGGAGTACAACCATTGCTCCAACAGAGACTCCAAAACCGCAATCCCCCGCGAGACTCGGCTCTCCTGTGCTAGAGCTAAGTGCACAATATCCGCCGTGGTTCCTCAACTCTATAGTTCCACACACTCCGATATTGATCGGCGAAGGATCAGACGCTGGCTTTGCAACTCGTTGCCGTAATGCCATTTCCGATACCCCTTATAACCATGTTCCGAGATTGAACTACCCAACGGACGAATACCTCGCAGTACTGTCCGAGGCGGAAGCACCTTGGCCATCACCTTCAAAGGCCCGGATGTTGGTAAATATTGCCCTTTGGCATGTAAGCGATCGATATCATGTTGTGTTGAAAAGTCAAGTCTTGCACAATCTCGAACAGAACCCGAGCTTAATGAACGTCATGACGCGGAGCAAGATGATGGCTCTTTTCGCCATTGGGGAGCTTTACTCATCCAGGACGATTTGTAAAAACAGAGGATATCCTGGGTTGCCTTTCTTTGCAAAGGCCACCAGTGTGCTAAGTATAATGAGTGAGCGGCCACACCTCGATGCTATCGAGATCCGACTCCTTCTTGTAAGTATTGAACCAGACATCCTACAATTCTGAAGTTAACAATAAGCCTAGTCGTTCTACTCTCTTGCGATCAATCGGCGGTACTCTGCATATGCACTGGCAGGCTCCGCTACTCGCTTAGCTGTTCTTATGGGCCTTCATCTGAACGTCTCTGAAAACGAACTGACCGATCCTGCTCTCCGTGAGCACCGAAACAGAGTGTGGTGGACGTGCTATAGTTTCGATCGCATGTGGGGGGTCAATCTCGGGAACCCAGTTGGTGTTTTTGATAACGTGATTGACGTAGATCTCCCTTCTGACAGAGAAACGCTGAGTGCGGACGACTTCTCTGATGCTGCCTATTACATCGCTCGCACACGTTTGGCCCAAGTCGCAGGCCAGGTTCTCCAAGTCATGTATCTCCGAAATGATCGGCCGGACTCTCGAGAAGGATCCCAAGCCCAACGTGTGCAGGACTCGCTCAAGAACCTACTTCGATGGAGGGAGAATTTACCCAATCATCTCTGCGTCAACGCGAACGATCCCACACAAACTCTTAGTAACGCCGTTTCTCTCTACCTTTCTTTTAATCAGGCACGACTGCCCTTTCTCTATATGCCAAACCTCGCTTCCTAGGCTGACAATTTGATAGTGTATTGTCATGACTACGAGGCCCATATTCCTGAACATTCTTCGCCAGACTATTGCATTCAAGAAGGGACTCGGTCCTGAGCCCCAGATCCCTCAATCTGCAATATCTCTTGCGGACGCTTGTTATAGATGTGCACGCCACAACGTCCGACTGCTAACTGACTCCTGGGCCGATGGCTCATTCCCAACATTCGATTGGCTCTACCCGCAATATCTCTTCTCCTCGGCGATTATAATACAGATTTCAAGCCTGATAAAGGGCAAAGACTGGCCACACAACGGCCAGGAGCAAATCGAGTCCGCCTTCGAAATCCTGTGCCAGCTCAGAGACACAGGCCACCTTGCCGCAAAGGAATTTTTACGTCATTTGGAAGCCATAAAGGCTGCCATCAGTGAGTTGGTTACCAGCGGTGTCATCCCTAGCTCCCCAGACTACGTCTGGCCCTCGCCATCAGACGAGATCGGTGCGAGTGTCGCTGCCATTCGTGGCCACCCAAATCTAGATATGTCCGGGCCATTACTACAGGACTTGTTGATGCAACCCAGTCTTGATTTGCAGTTCATTGATAACAGTTTGTCGGAAAACATGTCTCAGGGACTTTATTGGTCAACTATCACGCCTGACAATTGCATGGATCAACCTTGGGGAGGGGCTTGATCAAATAGAACTTTTGGTGCCAACATCTAAGGATATTGACTACCTCTCTGTGTCCGTGCAGATTCAAGCCCAAATGAATAATAAACAAATAAATTTTCAGTGTACATATTTCTATTTATGAATTTCTCCACCCGTATCTCACAGAGCTATGACGGCTCTTGACGCTATGGAATATGCCGAGCCGTTACTTGGCTTGGGACAAATTTCAAGGCCGGGTAAAGCACCTTTCTTATATTCCAATTGCTTGTGCTCGCTTCCTTATTACCTTCTAGGTAAAGTACGAATATCCTAGCTCGCTCTTTTTGAGTGATGATACGAGAGATCTCCACTTCCGCTTAGGAGTTCCTGTCTTATTACTTTATGGGCGTCCTTTATGCTGTACTGTTGCTAGGTGAAGATCATTGCCCTAACGCAAACGATCCAGGCCCTGCAGGCTCAGCCGGCTGATCTGCACCAACCACCTCGCTTAGCCGGAAAGGGTGCTGCGCATGTTGTGGCTGCAGTTTAGGACAAGCTGAAAAACGGCGGCAAAAACAATATGTCTTAGCCGAACCAAGTGGTGTCAGTTTGCCAAGGCATAATAGTTCCTAATTATTAAATACACTAGCACACATTCATTTCCTGTGCAGCCCATTATCTCAACTGAGTTGTATATCCGCGCCGTTAGACTTATACCTTATTACATCGTTGATATGTATTACATCGTTGATATGCTACTTTAGTTCGTATTTCATTACAAGCTCGGTCGAATTCTATGCTGGCATTCGAAATTAACGGTGGATCAGATACGAATGAGCACTCCCTTTCCTCTGATGTGCCTGTCCGCTATGACCTGAGACATACATATTTACTCCACACGGCATGCACAATGGGCATCCCGTGTCTGGTGAAAGTAACTAATACGCCTTTCCTATGCCTAAAGTGCCGGGGCCTATGCCGAGCCAAGCCACTCCCAGCGTTGGTCACGCTACATGGCTACATTCAGACGCCGTCAAAACCAGCCACTGGAATGATCGGGTCATTAAATTTCAGCTTGGAAATGGTCTTACTGAACGGAAAGGAATGGCCAGTCGTTTTTGTGCATGTTTCATTACCGTTTCCTTCATTTCAAGGTCCCCCTTAGCTTATGTCTTGAATATAAAAGGCACGAGGTCTGCTATCAAGACCTGCGCCCTCTTGCTTCTTCATCTTTCCTGTCCCCAACAGAACCATTTATTGCCTGCTCTTCTAAGCCAGGCCATATATATACCATGAAGCCCGTTGGTCACCTTTTTCCGTCGTTCCTCTTGGGACTTGCCTCTGCCTATCCTGTGGATCACACCGCACCTGCGCCCTTTTGCGACTGCGCAGGAACAAAAGCCGATCCCAATGCCACACTCCCATACATCTGTGGTGACTACCGTTTAGGGCCCGCAGATTTACCAGAGATCATGCCTCTGGTGAACTATATCTCGAACTACGACCGCTTCGGTGGCCTCAGTCCAGGAGAGTTTCTCGCCAAGTGGACCAACGCCGAAGGCAAATACAATTACCCGCCCCAGAATGGCTTTCAATTGGATGCCAATGGCAATGCCATCAATGGTTCCATGATCCTAGAAGCTGGCACATTTGTCGATCGATTCGGCAGTGAGAATGGTAAGTCTCAAAACAAACTAGTTCCAATGCGTTGAACAACTGCTTTTCATCATGTGCAGCCTGCTAAATATGTTGCTTGGCAGGGACCTACATCTCAGCCGCGTCCGCACCGTACTCGCAGAGGGCGCTGCCCCCTTCCAGCCTCAATACTCAACCATCTGCGCCAGACTTTCCCTTCAGTTACCATGTTTATCAGGTAGTCAAGCCCTTTAAGGTTGTTGGAGGCCCCATCGCCCCTTGGTTTGGACAGCCTGGATTAGGTGCTCAGTTCTACACGGGCGGCGTGGGCAATGTCTTGGACTTGATTGCAGGCGGTTACTTGGAGAGGGCAGATCCATCAAGCCAAATTAACGACAAAGAAGGATGCGGGCAGTGAATGTTATTGCTGGTCTAACGAACTCGATCAAATTTTTGAATTACTATCTAGCACTCTCTAAACTAATCACATCTTCACTACTCTCTTAAGAAACATAACTTTTGGACTTTGGATAACTTGACTCTATAAATCCATAAGTTCAGAGGTAGTGATTACTTTCTCGAACAAGCCTAGCCACTGCTTTATGATTCAGGTCGAGTTGACCTTCACAACCCACACACCACCTGAACAGATCCGCTAGATTAAACATTCATCTATATTAAAACCAGCATCAGTGTCTTTTTCAGGGGCATATCGAATTTATTACAGTGGAAAGCAGAAGTACTTACGCTATATAGCAGAGCCTTTTGCTGCCATGAGAGCGCCTGCGGACTCGAAACCCTCTTTGGGTTGCTTTTCCTCATCAGAAGCCATGCTCTTCATTACCGATGCCTCTGGGCGTAGCTTCTCCCACCTGTGCATCAGGGCGATGGGAGTGCTTACAGCTAACAAGGCAGTAGCCAGAGCGAAAGCGCCTCTGAGACCATCCATGTATGCCTCAAGGACTTCAGGAAGTTGCTCCGGCGTGAACACGGCTCGCAGTTCAGACGCGCCAACTCCAAGAATCACTGAGCTGGAAACACCTGGCGCGGTCTCCTTGATACGTCTCAGAAGCACGTTGCCAAAGACCGACTGTGCAGCCGAGACGGAGAAGGAGCCGCCGATGAGTTGGAAGAAGAGCGTCATGGCCGAAATCGTGCTCATGTCCGTCATATCAACAGCCGAGGTGTTTGCCATGATGGGAATCTGGGAGAGAAAGCCAGTTGCGCTCCCTGCGAGGATCTGATAGCCAACCCACTTGTCCATGGGCGTGTCGGGGGCAAAGGTATAGATGAGACCGGATCCGACAGCACTCAGAGCTGCACTGACGACTAGGAAAGGGACCCATCGGTTGGTGGCACTGAGAGCAACACCCGATATCATGGAGAAAACGCCGCCGACCAAGAAAGGGAGGTTGTGAACTCCTGACTGTAGGGGGCCATCGTTCTTGATGGATTGAAAGTAGAGAGGGATGTAATAGATGAGGACGAAGAGACCACCCGAGTTGAAGAAGACGATTGCCTGATTGAGGAAGATCCGGCGCTTCCTGAGCAGCCTAGGAACTATAGATGATCGCTCACCCATGTAGATCTCGTTGAATGCACAGAGGCCTGAAAGAAGGACGAAGCCGACTAAAGTGCCGATAACAGTGCTGTCAGACCACGACTTTTCCAGGCCTCCCCATTGAAGGGCCAGAAGGTAGCATACAACTGCAGACAATATAAGAGCACACCCGCTTGGGTCAAGCTGCAAGAGCTTTTCCTTCATTGTCGCATCCGCAGGTACAGCATGAGAGGGTACACGGAAGCTAAAGACGACGATGACCGCGGTCAGAGCGCCAATGGGCAGGTTAATCCAGAAGCACCAGCGCCAGGTGACACTCTGGGCAAAGGCACCACCAACGATGGGGCCGATAAACGATGCCAGAGCATATGTGGCTCCCATCACGCCCATAAAGGCTGGGCGACGCTCGGGGCGGACAGAGTAGCCGATGATGACGAAGGTACCTGTGCAGAGACCAGCACCGCCAATGCCTGCAATAGATCGGCCAACAATGAGGGTGACGGAGTTGGGAGCCAGAGCGCAGATGAGGCTTCCGAGCTCGAAAATGAAGAGGGAGGCGAGATAGGTCCATTTGATGTTGAAGTATTTGAATGCCTTTCCCCAACTTGTCTGGAAAGCGGCGTATGTAAGGAATCCAGACGAGCCATACCATCCAATATCACCAAGGCTCCTGAACTCAGATGTGATCTTTGGGATGGCGGTTGCAAGAATGGTAGCGTCGAGGTTGGCGGTGAACATTGCCATAAATAAAGCAAGCATGGTGAAGCCCAACTGGACTGTACCAGGGTATGATATGGAATCCGGGATGTTCATTGTATGAAGTCGGTCGATGACGAGTGTCGATGGAGAGAATGACAGTTTTTCTCAGCGATGATCAGCCAAGGCGGTGAACAGAACAGAGCTTGATTTCCATTGAATCCAGTATGCTTCTATCTTGGACTCTCGAGCTATTTGACTACTCCAGTCGGGCATGAGCAGATCATCAACCATACTCTCACCCGGTGCCTTCGGTCTAAGACCAGGGCAAGGGCCCGTAACTACGGCCCGCTGCCCCTGCTGCTTACCCAATTTGAATTACACATCAAAGAGCCCTGATCTCGGACACTTTTATGTGTCCAACGAGATGTCTCCGAGATTGGAAATTGCATTGCCTTTCCTTTGTATGCCCTTTGGCTTAAAGATGATCAAAAACCACACATTCTATAGCAGATCTAAGGAATAGTAAACCATGGTTGATCGCCACTTCCTGGATCTAAAGTCTGCCTTCGTCAGTATCCTAGCCATACTGGTTGTTCTGATCGGCGCCCCTTCTCTTTTCAACACCCCCAAAACCGCGGGAAATATGGCGGAGACCATCGCTGAGAAGAATCAGGAGTACTGGCAGTATGTAGGGCCTATTGCCCCCTCCCACAAAGACGCAGACTGACACAGCCCGTCTTGATAGCCACGCTGCTCAGTCTGTCTTTAAGGACAAATGGGTCCATGACCTTCAGGCGCAGATCTCAGAGTTTCTTACAACAAATGTTGAATGGCTCGCCTTGCCAACCGGTACTCAGGAATCGTCCTCCTCAAAGTTGATGGATTGCGCGTGCGGAAACGGAATCGTCTCACGTGTAAGTTCCCGTCACCCCCCCTCACGCCTTGATAGTCGCATATGTCCTCCAGTCGCATGTTCGATCCTATACTTAGCCATATGTTGCCCGCTTACGATTTATGGATAGTCGCTGCACCCTCACTTTGCACAGTGCCTAGGGATCGATCTTGCCGAAGGTATGGTTGCTAAATATCGAGCCACGGCTGAAGATCTTGGGCTCCCTGAGTCTCGCATGATGGCTGTTCAAGGCAACCTCCTAGCACACACGGTGGAGGCAACAAATCCTCCCTTGAGCCAGGAGCAACTGTCTAGCTTCGACCTGGTCGCCATCTGCATGGCCCTTCACCACGTCGATGACATTGAGCTAGCAATCAAACGACTTGCAGAGAGGCTGCGACCTGGCGGTGTTCTCCTTGTCATTGACTGGGCTACGCGAGACAGCTCGGCCCAAGACGTCAGATCAGCCCCTCCTGCCAGTGCATTCGGGGAGCATTACAAGCACAAGTCACACCCTGCTTCGCACACAATCACCCACGATAGTTTTACAAGAGAACAAATATTCGGGCTATTCGAGGAAAGCGGATGTGAAGACTCCAGCTTCGTTTTGGCCGACAGACTCTCCGAGGTTCCCGGTGCTCGCACTGGTAGCATGCAACTATTCTTCGCTCGGGCTTCCAAACTGTAGGACATGAAGCAGAGAGAGTAGCTGCAGCTCTCGAAAGTTGTAGACTATAGAACTGAAAGGACAAAGATATGCTGTCGACTTTTCTCTTTACCCGGAACATGGTTCTTGTGGTATTTGAAATTGCCTGAGCCTTGTATAAGCTTCGCGAATTTCTCCATGAATTAGTTCGGTACGCCGGATAGAGACTATGAAATTCAGCACCCCCTCTCTGTGTTGACGAACGACCAATGCCTCGTTTGAGAAGGCGAAAGCCTCATCAAAGGGTATAAGTGTGCGTGCGCCTCAGTATAAATTAATGACCAAAAACAATAGTATCTAGAAAAAAGATATGCATAGAGGGTATAAATCAATCCAGAGGAGTTCAACTTCTCAATCTCCTCCTGGCTGGTTTGGCCTGGCTAGCAGAACTTGTAGTAACTCTTCGGCCTTTTTCTCTATCTCCCCGTACCATAAATCTTGTGCTCTCGAGCTCGAGACAATAGAGAGATTCCTCGCCGTTCCAGGGACATTACCTTGAGATACCTCCCACCGCTTCTGCATCATATGGCGGTAAGACTGGATAGTCTGTATGCACTTGCGTAGATCCCTCTTAAATACCACGTTTAGGAGTATGATTTGCTCCTCCGGCCCTAGCTCTAGGCAGCCAAACGCAAATGTAGGCTGGGAGGCAGCATTTGGCGCCTCCACGGCGGCGGAGGTCGTGACATTTCCTATATCTGTGAGAGCTGGCTGAGAGACGGACTGCGGCGAGTAGGACCCCAGTGGAAGCCCATCAACAGACGATGCGCTCCCCGTGACTAAACCCCCTCCCTCTTCAGGAATAGGCTGCGCTCGCGAGATTGCCATGCTATACAAGCCAATGACAAGATCCAGGACGGTGGCAGCCAGGATAGGGCAGCTGTTGCAGGCCTTGAAACCTTCCATTTCCATGATAGAGGGCAGCTTGGCCATCGCTGTACGGTTGAGATTTAGAACCTGGTCTACTGGCGCTGTCTGCTGGAGGCACGACTCGAGGTCATCAATAATGCTCATTAGCATCGCCGCATGTGGATAGCGCGCTATTGTGTTCGTCTCTCGATACGCGGTTGGGACCATCCGTGAAGACCTAGCCAACGGGGCGAGCTGCGCAAAGGCGGCATCGCGACCGGCCGTGGTAGATAGAGGCAGCGCCTCCTCGTCGGCAAGTCCGGACCATGAGAAACAGTCGATGGACGGAACGCAACCGTTTTCGCTGCAGGTCAAGTGTAGGCAAGGCTGTGGGATATCACCATCCCCGTCTAGATGATGAGTCTGGACATCTGCTATGCCATGGTCTGTGGCTACATTTGTTGAGGTGGCACCCAACACTGAAGAGACCAAGTATGGGTCGCTGGCATCGGGAATTTGAAACGTCGCGTTCATCTCACCACTTATAGGTCCCGCTGGAGGCGTCCAGCCTGCCATGGACACGTCCACGGCGGCGTCGCTCGAGCTGCCCAGCCGGGTGGAAATAGAGGTCGCTTGATGAACGTCGAGCTGCTGTGAAGGCTGTATCGCAGCATCAGACGACATCGGAGGCCGGTCCTTCGGTTGGAAGACGGCTGCATGCTGACTTCCTCCAGACCGGCGCCGCTTCGGGGCACGTCCCACCATAGATGTCTGGTATTCACACTTGAGATTGTACGTGCTGCAGCGTGAGCACCCATCTTTCTCGCCGGAGCAACGAACCTAGTAGACGGTGGATCAGTTCCGGCCATGGAATACAGAACGCTGGCTCCGATATTCGTTGGTGTCCAGAATGGCCGAAAGCTTTCTTGAGGTACAAAACCGGCGGGTTGAGGGGCAGAGAGAGTGTCCTCACTTACTTTAGCACCATGACACTCGTTACACGCTGTGCGCAGACGAGGTGGCTTCGCTGAGGCAGGCAAAGAAGGGGGTACGCCTGGCATTCTTGCATCAACAAGCCAGATAACCGCGAGCTGTGTCTTAGCTACAGGCAGACACGAGAGAAAACTGGGACAGAAAGGCAACGTAGAGGGTGGGCTGTTTTCTTCGTGCAGAACAGGGGTAGAATTGGAATGGTTCTAGTGGTGATCATGAAGGGCACCTAGCTACGGGCTGTCTGTCAGAGAGACAAAGAGGTCAGAGCCCTATTTCCCCCAGGCTCCTCCCTCAACCCTGCCTAATCTTTGCTGATTTCTATTTTAGAAGCTGACTCTGCCTTAGGTAGTGTAAAAGGAGATGGCAATTCAACCGCTCCCACAGCGAACAACATGATTTTCTACTTTTTTTTCTTATCACAATCGCACGGGTCGCCTTCCTTCTCGGGCTTCACGCACGACCTACACGGCTTGCCGCGGTACATGCATGGCAAACCACCCCCGGGGGTCTTCTCGCACTTGCCTATCCTCTTACCCTAATTCCCATGTCAACGAGGGGATGAGGAGAATCAGGACGCAGGCAGATACTTACACGGACGAACAGGTCGCGGGCAGCGAGGTATTCCTCACGCGCTTCTAGGTATTCCTCACGCGCAGCGAGATAGTTGTCGCGGGGGCTCAGGCCGGCCTCATCGGCATACTGCGCAGCAGCGAAGCTGGAAAGCGCGAAGAGGGAGACGATGGTCTTGACGAAATGCATCTTGAAAGTTGCAGAATGGGATCCAAAAGAGGGGTTGTTTTTATAGCTGATGCGAAAATGCAAGTAAAGCAAAGTTGCTTGGTATGCTGGATGGTAAATACAGAAGAAATGAGGATTATATACATGCTTGCAGCCTGCCTCTCTCCACTAATCCCTTTCCCACCGCATCTCAACACAGCAGGGGCCGCATAATATTTCGTATAATACTTAAGCAGACTTTTCAAGGCGTAAGTGCCGGAAGGTAATCATTTCGTTCCGCTTGGCATGGGGTTCTTCCTGATATGCCGGCTCCATCTTGCCACCCGGTGGAACGCTTTCCTTTTCTTTATCGACATACGGTGTGATCAAAAAGCACATCCCGGATAACGGCCAGACGGCAGCAAACTAAGATTCCAAGGCGATGGTTGTTCAATCCATAACCCGACACCTTGCATTGGCAAGGAACATTGTCTTTCAGTTAGCGATTTGTGTCAAGCCCCTGGAAGAGGACAAGAGATATATAGCTTGAGGGGTTTGCTCTCACAGACCATCCCGTAATTCGTCTTTTTTACCCCCAGTTATTTGGACGCGTGTTCCTGCATAAATATATTCATTTTTGTGCTCACCGCGTCCAAGACCCAAAGAGAGAAATTTGGAGGCAAAGCACTTTCCAGACAAAGCTTAGTCGGCGCAGTCAGCCTCGCTTATTACCTTGTCAAACGGCAGTTCCTTGTCAAACGGCAGTTCCTTGTCAAACGGTAGTTAGGCAGGCACCCTTGGCATCCTTCAAATGTCGCGGACCCGCTTAGATACTTCGAATATACGTGTGAATGTAGTACTCCTATTTAAATGCCAATTGTGGCACAATAAGATGATCATCCCTTCCAAGACCATTGTTTTATCCTTATGCTGCCACACCAAACACGGGGGTCCAACGTGTAGGTGCCTCGTCGACCTCGGTGGCAGCTTTCGCCCGTGAATCTGCCACCGTATTATACTCTCTTGGAATATGCCACATCTGGACCAGCAAGCCGTCTTCGTCGTAATGCCGTTCTACCTCACTCAACAGCTTCTCCCATAGGTCCTTATTTTTCACATCGGCCCCGCTACTCGTCTTCCAACCATTGCTAATCCAGGTTCTAGTCCACTGTGTAGACCCCTTCACGACGTAATCAGAGTCTGTAGCAATGACAACATGTCGAAATCCTTCCCCCGCCCAAACTCGAAAACCAAGAGCCGCGATGACAGCTCGAAGCTCAGCTCTGTTGCTGCTTTGAATTCCCGGGTCGCCAAAAGGGCCTTGTGTCTCTAGCCGGGCACTGATAACTTGCCCTGGACCGGCGACAAACGCCCAGCCGGCCTTGGGGTTGGGTGCGCCGTTATTCGCACACGCACCATCCGTCATTAGTAGCACCTTTCCAGGATCATTTGTGTGGACGTATCTAGGCCGTTGTGTCAATGTCTTTCAAATATCACGTAAATGTGGGCTTTTTACCTGGTTACTCCAAGACCAACGCGACGAGACTCGGCTTGGAATAATTCAAGAGGGGGGCCGGTCTCTGTGAATTCGGTAGGGAATACATTTCCATAGTCTCTTCGAGTACTGTGAAGCGGGTCGAACATGTCCTCGTCGACTTTTACCTCAGGGTAATGCTCGTCGTCGTTGTCACCGCCATCGTAGTCGTCGTCATCGGCCTCATCCATGAAGCTGAAGTCCATGCAGCATTTGCCACAGACAGTCAGGCCATGCGGGCCGCAGACGATGCGCCCGTCTGGAAGCTCGCAAGGACCTTCGTCGTCATCGCTGCTGTGTTCACCAAGCGGGATCAAGCCCTGCCCGAGATAGTAACCGCGGGGCATCTTGTGATCCAGTCGTAGGCCGAAAAAAGATAACCAGACAGATCCTAGCTAACTAATTCGATGCAACCGTTCACGGGGTGATGGTCTTTCGCTTGAATCCGATGCTTGGGGTAAAGGGCGGGGGAGGGGAAAATGTCATAACCACGCCACCAGCTGCCGAGCGGATACTGGTGTACCCCATTGTCATGTGACACCTCGTCGGGCAGCAACAGCCTAACCGTCCCTTCTGGACCAAATCTTTCTTAAGCAAACGCAGACAACTTATTATCTAAGACAGACGTAATGAGAAGCTGTCAATGTGATATTCCGAAGCAGAGTTGTGCCTGGAATGGGCCATTTTCTAGGCCTTGGAGCTCGAGGACTTCGTCGACGGCTTGGGCCAAGCCTTTCTGTCAACAAGACATCCAACGCAGGCTGCTTTTACCTAGGTATCTACCGTTACTACTGTCCCCACGAAGATGATGCTAAAAAAGCATCTGTTAGAGACATAGAGAATATTCTCATCTTAATACTTCATCATAGTAGTGTCATTCTCAGCATTCTACATCTAAAATGCTAATTGTGACTTCCTCTGATCTCTCAAACATCAAAGGATACTAAAAATGGGAACGAACTACCCCAGCAGATTGAAAATTTCCACATCTAGATTCATCGCATCTTAGACGGTAGATGCCTCTGCCAGATGAGTCACATTGGAGGCTAATGCTGGTTGCCTGGATAGCTTCTCTCGCTCCTCCTTCTCAAATTGTGCCGAGCACAACTCAAGGACTCGGGCTTGATAATCTTTTGGGGCCGGTTAGTACTTCAACCAAACTAATAAACTTGGGGCATTTCCACTTACAAGCCACACCATTTTCCTTGTTAGGGTTAAGTATCCCCGCTGAATAAATGTCAAGCTTTAGGTTGAGCTGGACTTGTTCGCACAATTCGTGGTCTTCTACCCCAACTCGCCGGGCAAATTTGTAATAGGCTTCAAATTCTTCGGACCCAGCAGGCTCATCATGGTAGTAGTCGAATTCCATCATCGTCGTTGAGGGGTCTTCGAGCGGGCACGCGCGGATGGCACTCATACCCCCGCCGTACAGATTAAACATCGTGTTGGGGAAGAAATAAATGAATAGACCGTCTGCAGGGCTGTGGCCTGGTTTCGCAAGGTGCTGCGAGTAGTTACTGTTGTTCAGCACCTTGTAGGTGGTTGGAGTGTACCGCTTGGAAAACTCCTTGTGGGCGTATGCGCAGTGGAGGCACTCCTGGAATCCGTCGATAAATGTCTTCCAGTTGTATTTTCCTACGTATCTGAGACTTCTCCGGACCTCACGCTTTGTGAAGTCCACGTGCCCTACTAGATCCTCTAGTCCTGGTAGAGATTCTTTAAAGCTGGGCGTCTCGTTCGACAGCGTGACGAAGAGCAGACCTGTAGGTGTCAAGTGGCTTCGTACCTCGGAACCCTAAAATGATACGTTAAAAGCTGAGGTAAAGCTTTGACTTGCCAAATAAAGAGATACCTACATCCTGTGCAAGAACTCTAAGGCTTGTCCAATCCTCAGAGGAGCGTCGAACAATAAGGTCGACTTGCGCCATTTCGTGAGGGTAATCTCCGACAGTTGGCCATTTGGTTACCGCTCCTAAGAAAAACCATGACTATAAAGGGTCAACGCTTTGATTATACGTCAGAATCTTGAATGAGAGGACGAATGCTACCTTGAGAAAAACAGCACGCCTCTCAAGGTCGTAAACTGTCTTGCTGGTGAACCATGATGCGGGAAGCGTAACCTCCAATTCAGCCATCGTTTTGTTTGTTCTGAATGCCTTGCTTGTGCTTTCTTTTGATGGCCGTTATTAGATACTTCCCTCTATATAAAGGATCGAGTAATCTCTCCAAATTGCAGTCCGAGAACCGGCCAGGCCAGCTTGGCGTGGACCAGCCCCGGATAGCCGTTCCGAATATGGAGTTGCAACACGCAAATGCACCCACTTGCCGTAGTAGGCAATCCAATCCCCAACCAGATACCCAATAATATCGCTTCGGAGATTTAGAGGGGATGCAATTCCTCCAGTGTTATCTTTCATGGAGCCTCTGAGAACCGCCCCGCATCGTAGCCTGTGATCTCATCCACTGAGAAACCATCAGGGTGAAACGCTTGGGACAGGTTTCAATTTCCCAACAGGGCAAGCAAGTCCCTCAACTAGTCAGGCGGACAGTAGGTTGTGGAACCCTTTGGGCCTGTGAGAAGTCGAAGTGTGGTCAATGCGAATCAGTGGCTGTGAATGCTCGCTAAGCATTGGAACTGATTTCCTTTCCCGGAATACATGGGGTTAAATATGTTAGCTGCCGTGATCAACAAAATCCCGTCGGAAACTTCGTAGTCATTTCTGAGGGCGTTATATTTGAGATTTTGCCTGGCATACTCCTAACTTAACTTGAGCCCTCATATTCACTAACACCACGTCTGTCTTTCCAACAACTCGAGATATTTGTGTTGGGCAGCGAATCGTCCCTTTTCATACAAGGGATGACAATAGAGTCCCCCTAGAACAATACCCAAATACAAACTAAACTGTGACTGGAGTCTCATAAAGACATGGGAAAATGATACCCCGATTCTGAACCAGCCTTTCAAATGACTGTGCTTCCATCGCCTGCTGTGATTTCCTCTCGAATGTTTCAACCAAATCAAATTCGTCCTTCTCTTCCTCGTCCAAATTAGTCTTGCCGTTCAGTTGCCTTCTATGGGTTGCAAACCTCACCGGCGTCGCGCTGGGCTTTACCTTCCGCACAAAAGCAAAGCGGCGGTTATGGTAGCGTGAGGCTCTTGGGCTCCAAAAGTCCTTTGCCATCTCGGCCAACTCAGCGACGCGCACCCGTGTCAGTGCCGCGAGAGAGAAATCAACGCCTACTTTCCACTTGGGAGAAGCAATCTCATTCAACTGCAGCAGTTCTGCGACCTTGTTTCGCACACCTTCGGTGAGCTTTGCACCACGACCCGGCACCACATAATCCACCAAGCCAATTCGCTCGCCATCAGACGACGACAAAGGTAACATGTCACGTACTAGTGACGTCGCGACAGAAGTGCCGCACCGCTTGTAGTATGATAGAGTGTGATACTCGGACCCGTAGAGTCCAAGGGCGCGATACGCCGGGTTCAAGACCACCTCAGAGCCGGCGATGACCTTGTCGAAGGCAGCAGCATATGCAACACCGCCAGCGGCACAATTGCCTCGCACACCGGCCACTGTGATGATGTTCCGCTTGGGGAACTCGTGAAGAATGTAGAAAACAACGTCGTTGATTGCGTTGATGTTAATCCAAGACTCGTGGGCTGGGTCCGCCGCAGTCTCAATCACATTCAGATGGATTCCGTTGCTGAAGTATGAAGTACCACCCATCATCACCACCGCTCTGAGCGGATTTGCCTCTGTATGTTTTGACAGAACGAACTCGAAAGCTTCAATCAGCCGCGAGCACTGGCTAGAGCTCATTGCGCCGTTGTAGAACTCTGAGAAGACGTATGCAAGTCTCGAGTTCCCAATAGTAGCAAACTCCACCCAGATCTCTTGAAATGTGGGATAGGTCGCCGCAGACCAGTCATCAGGAGTAGGGACATTCAATTGCTGAAGCTTCTCGTGGCTAATTATGTTAAGATCTTGCAGGCAAGTTGTCGCTGGCACCTTGGGCCACAAAGCAGCGTCATTTCTTCCTTTCAGGCGTCTCAAGTGCGTGATCCACACGCCCTTTTTATCGCATGTCGCGATACACACAGCCTCATTCCGAGAAGCGATTACGGTGCCGGGAATGGCGTCCACTTCTCGAACCCACGGGCCTTCTTCGATGATACCTCCGTAGACATAGAGGCTGGGTCCAAACACAGTGCTGAGACAACCCGGCTGGGAGTCGGAGCATCTGATCCGTCGAGAGATCTCTTTTGCCGTGTGATCATTGACATTGAAAGCGCGCTGTGCTGCTTTGAGGAGCGGTCTGTGGCGTGTTGTTCCACCTTGGAAGGGTAGCTTATCAGTGACTGAGAGTTCCCTATACGAAGGGTCGGCGACCATGTGTGGAGAAACAGCCGACTTCGTGGTATCCGAAGGGCTGAGATTGGCTGTGATTCTCCCTACGGCGGCTACTGTGGCTGTAACCGCCGCTTGAGTGACAGAACTCCGGTAGAGAGTAGACTTTGTCACATGAGGGTCATCGATGTCGATTGGAAATTGCTCAAATGCCCAGACGGGACCCGCATCGAACTCTTCGATAGCTTGCAAGATGGTTACGCCCCAGTACTTTCGGCCCGAGTCGCTCAACGACTGCGCCTTGAGCAGTTTGTTGGAGTCAGCCTCAGACCCGTCATCCCCCATCAACACCCAGTCCAAGGCACTAGGCCCAACATCTCCAGGTGCTCCTGGGTGGACAATGAGGGTCAAGTAATGTGCGTAGACCTCGCGTGGGATGCGGGCCGTCAGGAAGGGACAGATGATCAGATCCGGTTGGTACAGCCCAACAGCCTCGATGATAACACTATCGGATAGTGCATACTCAACAGAGACTTCATGGTCCTTGGCCAGCGCCAGAAAAAGTCGTTGAGAAAGCGAATTGTGAGCTGTGCAAATAAATTGAATCTTCATTGTAACAATAGAGTGGGAAAACAGCAAGGGGCTTCAGATTGCCGTCAAAATCCCGAATGGTATAAATTATATAGTCCCTTGAAGATATAGGAGGGAAGCAGTGGTTTTGAAGTGTCATCTCTTTCATCTAGTCTGTCTGCTCCAAAGCAAGCCTTGCTCTTATACCTAATTTTTAGACTGGTCTTCAAGGACTTTTGTGTTCTGCCTAGACGTTGCTGGCATTCTGGAACAGATTTTAGCAAGCATCATGTTGCAGTAGGATCCGTCCATTTATATTATCAGACCATAGCCCTGCAAGAATCAGAAGATGATCCAGGGTCTCAGAAGCAACCAGGATCACAGGGTCCTCGGTGAGTTGCATTCCCTAGATATGCGATGCAGAAAACGCTTCCGATTGCTACGCGAAGCCGACCTATGAGGAATTTTCCGGAGCAATTGCTCAGCAATCAGCGCACCATGACGTTACTTTCGGGATGTTCACGGCAACATCGTGCCCCCACGTCGCTTACAAGATTGCGGTCCGACGCATACCTGTGGAGAACGGCCGCGTATAGCTGCAGGTTATTATTGCATTTTTCATGCAGATGGCACTTTCTAGATTTGTCAATCATATCGGTTGAGTGGAAACTATGGTAGTAAGTGAGAGAGCTATACAGCTGCTGAAGAAGAAGAAAAAAGGGAATTTCCCAAATACCAATAATTTAACAACTTGACACCATACCCAGGTATCACAACACATAAAACTTCAGCCTTTTTGCCCGGCTACGAGGCCTGTGCCCGGCTACGAGCTTTGTGCCCAGCCGGTGAAAACTATGGTCCACTGGCAAAAGTTCTGATTTTCACTGCGAAAAGGGGTAGCGTGAGAGTGGCAAAGAATAAGCGCCTAGACTGCTCGTCTAAGTCTTGCTGCATGAAATCGTTATGTACTAGTTATGGTCTAGGACTCTGCCACTGCATTTAACTTAGCTAGGCATTTTCAAGTCCTCTTTATTGAATTCGCGGAACATGTCTCGAGAACTTGTGAATACATCAACCCAGCATGGGAAGAAGAACCCAGTGATTATCAGAAGAGCCTATTCGTCCCGCTATCAATACACATTTTGTTGATGACCCAACCAGACATCAAGATCCCTACTTTGTAATATCTAGCCGTCTATTGGCCGGCTTCCGGGATGTATTCATGTCTTATATGCAATGTCGAGTTAACTAAATGTCATTGTTTTGAAACAATCTATTAAAGGCCTGACATGTATTGAAACTGCTGACGATATTGCAAAGTCACTTCATCACGAACCGCCTCCTCCTCCTCCACAACCCCCTCCACCGCCACCACATCCTCCTCCTCCACCACCGCATCCTCCACCTCCTCCTCCGCCGCAACCTCCTCCGCATCCCCCTCCTCCTCCATCGCCTCCGCTGCATCCTCCAGCATTTCCACAGCCTCCTGCGCCGCCGCAAGCTCCAGCAGCGACTCCTCCACCACAACTACCCCCTGCACAGGCTCCTGGGCAACCGGTGCCATTGCAATTAACGACGTTGGGATCGGCACCATAGTAAATACCAGGCGTAAAGTACATCGGGTACATGAAAGGGCCATATGCCGCATATGGATACCCCCAGTGGCTGTAGTAAGTGTCCCTCGGTGGGAGCTTCCGCCCCTTTTTCTCGGCCCGCTTGCACGCCTTCTCGTAATTCTCGTCCAGGCGACGCTGATATGCCTTCTGGGCCTTGCTGCGGACGAACATGGAAGACCGCATGGAGGGGTTATCTGGGTCTATCGCCCTGGATGTCACGGCGTTGTGGGAGCTAATGTGGGCAGAGTTCTCGGTATCACACGACTTGGCGGCACCCGATTCATAGAACTCGTCCGCGACTAGATCCAATATTAGCAAGGATCCTGGAAGGAGGACAAACCGTCCGTGTAAGAGAGCTAATTACTATACCCTTTTCGTTAGATGAGAGTCCAAAAGCCTTCCCAATGGATGAAATATGAGAAGATCGAACAGTCTCGCAATACCAGCAGGTACATTCCGAATATACTTCATGGTATAACTTCTGATACGTTTTACTTGTCCATTCAAACCCTTGGCTGAGCTCGTCTTCATTGATCTTGTCGTCGTGGTCGACAAATTTGGACTGGGAAGATGTGGTGGTCATTGCGTAGTACGCAGAGGGCGAAAGTTGGTGCGTATGCCATCCTAATAAGTCGAGTCAGTTTGAACAAGCCTCAATGAAGCGGGCTAGAATGGAGAGCATGATTCAAGCGCTTACCTAGGTCAACGTCTAGTGTCGGGACGCATAGCTTGCCGGGATTGCTGTCCATGAGCTTAAGGAATCTCATGTATTTGGTACAGATCCGAGCCATGGTCTGCGAAGCAACGGGCGAGTGTAACCAGTCGAGACGGTACATCTTCTCCACGAAAATGCCCTGTCGCATCACCGCTCCGGACAGGTCAAGTGCGAACGGAGAGAAATTATCCCAGTACCGGCTCATCATTTTTCGGATGGCGAGACGGGACTTGGGGACGAGCTTTGTGCCAAGCTTGTAGTGTCCCGAAGTCTTCATCACTAAGGCGTTGACTCTAGTGCGGTCTTGAAGGGCTCTTTCTATTTCCTGGCGAATCTCCTCCATCGAGGCTGGTCTCGCGCTTGCGATGAGTTCGTCCAGCTTGAAGCAAATTACCTGCTGAACCAGCCGGTTGGGAAGCGTGATCGGGTCATGATGCCTGTCGAATGTAGCTTGCGTGACCCTACTCCTGTAAGACTCTGGCTTGCCGGATTGAGGATCGAGTAGAGTTCCGGGCATGGGAAGTCCTCTTGTCAGTAGCTTCTGCGTGTCATTCTTGAACTTGATGACGCTCAGTAAATCTTTGTTCATATTTAGGGCGCAACCATGACATGTGTAGTCGAGAGAGCCATCGCCATAACCAGAGCCGATAAGGGAAGGTAGGGAGGAAGCTTTGGCCGTCTCATCTGCCCCGCAAGTGGTCCATGGAATATCCAGATGCGTTTTGCAACGAGGGCATACCACCCTCTTGACAGGGCTATCTTCGATATTATCCCACGGTCGCTCTGTTTTGGCAACCCAGAGAGCCTTGACGTCGTCGGAAACGACATAATTAAAACTGGAATCAATCGCAGTATTGACCAGATGCCAGGGCATGCCATGAGACCAAAGATCTCGGAGACCTGCTCGCATACAATCTTCAAGATAAGCCCGTGGGTTGAGCATGTGGGAATGCCAGACAAGCAAAACGTCTACCGAACGGATTAGCTGCGAGGATCATACAAGGGCTATGTTCGTCTCAGGTCCCATACCTAATGGTGGCAGCGGCTCGTTCTTCCACAAGACGCCTTGCATCGGCATTGGAAAGAGATCATATGCGGCTGCTCCATCATACTCCATATCCCTCTCGTGGAGGGGAAACTGCACGTAGCATGGATCCCTCATTGAAGCCCACCAGGTCTCATACCGATCGACTGCGCGCGCGACAAACAGCGCCCATCGTTTTTCCCTCACTTGGCTAAGAGCCAGCTGCTGTTCTTGCTCATGGCTCAGTTTCTCACTGCTTGATGCGTCGGATACTTTGGCGTCGAGACTGGGTGTGGAGTCGACGCCCTCTACCCGAGTATTCCATAGGCCCCAGAGCCCATCTGTGTATCCTATATCTTCTTTCAGTGTCTGGAAGGCGTAGAGAAGCTTGAGGTGTGCCAAGCATGTGTCGGTGTTGGGGTCCTGCGGCCCTGGGGAGAGCGTCAAATTGGCGAATCCCGCGGTAACATCATCGAGTTCTGCCGGGGCAGCATTTGCACTGTCGTACGAAGGTGGTGCCTCTTTTCCCTCTTTGGAATGAGGGCTTAGGCCATTCTTTTCAGAATCCGCGCCCATGGCGGCAACGTTGACCAAATGTGGCGGGCAGTGGGTGCAAAAGGTATCAAATGTGATTGTTAGGGTAGCAAGACGGCGGAATCAATCAGGGGGCGTGAAGTAGGCGCAAACAAACTGTACATGAGTGACGATTTAAGTATTTGCCTTAGATTCTAATCTGGTGGCTAACAACCGGGCTGTGCAGGCTTATTAGTATGATAAGCGCTCTGTAGTTGGGCAAATATTCGCCTGTGGCGCAAAGTAACCGCCGGATATGACGGCATCGGCCATCGTGGCATTTCAGCCAAGGTAGACACAAGAGATTGATCCAGTGGGAATTCAAGATCGGCTCGGCACATTGCGCCCGGGTTCGGTGGCGGGAGCAGATCTGTCCCTATGGCGGGGATCACTGATGACGCATCTCACCGTCTCAGCCCTCGGGGGACGACTTTGGCAAGGCAATGACGCCCAGCTGGCTGATTTACGGCAGCATCAATTAATATGGCAATAATGCTTCCAAAGATCCAATCCCATACAGGTAGTCTGTTGCTAGTTAGCTGTTCGGGCGGATTAGCGCACTCTCCAAACCGCCATGAGAATCAATTACCAATCCATCTTGAGATGGCGAACGTGAAAAGGCATCACGTGGACTCGGCCTCAGATTTGCATCAATCAGACTCTATGGATTATCAGGATCCCGCTCTAGGATATTGGCGACTTCTCATTGTAGGCTACCTCGGTCGACCACGCTTTCTTTTTTTTTTTTTTTCCAATACTCTATTCACAGCTTGATTGACAGGCAAAAGGTACATCTTCTGCCAGCATTTACTTGGCGGTGGCGATTGTATATTTCGCTTACAGCCAGAGCAATGCATCTCGCAGCCACAATAATCTCTATAAACTGACCGCTCCAACAGGTCTCCTGTATATCTCTTACCCGCGTAATTTAAACAAGTATTGTTCGTATTGTTCCCTTCTTTGCATAATACATTGTGAGTAATATAGCGCAAAGGACGGGTTGAGTTCTTCCTAATCACCAAACATGTGCAGCCTCAAAAGGTAGGTTTCAATAGTTGTTAAAGTAAGATATCTGTTCCGAGGCCAACGCTGGTTAATAAAGGCGTATCAGGTGCCTAAATATTCCTGTGAGCGCTGTGAACGTGTAAATAAATCATGAGCTCTAGACAGCGGACAGCAACCCGGAGTTCTAACGCTTCAGAGTGTTGACTTTGCCAGTCCGTTATTGCTGTGTTTGCTCTCACTTTCGCGTCGCGTACGAGACGCGTGAATCTAATTGAAAGTATGGACATTTGTCTGCCCAGTGGCAGCTGCAGCCTTTCTCCCTACACGCAAGCAGTGTTGCTCCCCACCCATCTCCCCTTCCTCTCTCTGCAGAATTCGGCTCACTATTCCAGTATTTCCCCTCCCTACTTTGTCTTTATTCATGGCTTCCCGTCCCATTAACAGTTGGTTCCTTCGAGGGGAAGGCTCAGCTTCCTTCCACGCCCCTCCAGTTAGCCAAGGCACGCCGTCTTTACACTGCAAACAAGAGTCTCACGGTCACGACACAAAGCCTTCTTCGCACCCGCCGAACGTAGAGTCACCGAAGGATCAGAAGACTCGGTACACCGACACCGAACAACCCACTGCCTCAGACATGGCGCCTCCGCCTGAAGTGACTGTGATCCTAGATTCGGATAGCGAGTCCACCGTTTCCGTCCATGCTGCCACCGAACTCGAACTGGCTGCTTCAGGGTTCAAGCTCCCAAAAGGCCAGTCGAGCGGAACACCGGTAGAGTTGGAGCCGTAAGTAAATTCCATTTCTCTCGGCGGTCTCCTTGTCTAACCACAATCTTAGATTGGATTGTGACTGCCTTCGATGCGCTCGCGCTCTGGCAGATTACAAGCCCAAACATGGGCAGAGATTTGCTCCCCCGCTCTGCTGTTACAACATTCGCTGTAAGTTACATCCAGACCCCTATATATACAGAGCTAACAATAGCTGAAGCATCCACGGGTAGCTGTACACGCTGCATTTCTTCCCATGGGGAATGCTTGAAAATGCCTTACCGACACCACCGTTTGGTCCGCCGATTCCGGAAGCTCGCGACAGACGAAACCCTCCGCAAGACTGTGAGTTTCGGCCGTTATCCGCATTTCTGAGAGTGTAGCTTAACCAGGCTCTAGCGAGAGTTCCGGATCCTACGTTGGCGGGTTCGCCAGACCTTGGAGTCACTCAAGTCCAAGTCAAATCATCTCAAATCTCAGGAGCATCAAGATGCCGAGGAGGATCTTCGCTATCGGCGCCAGCGAGAGGCCTGGCAAGACCGGGTCCAACTCGACATCGCCAATAGCCTTCAGCATGTTGCTCAGTCTCTGGTGCGAGCCTCTGAGACCCGATTGAACCGTGTCCTTGATGAGAAGGAGGCAGCCGGAGTGCCCGATTTCGCTGATTCCGGGCCTGTGTAAGTTTATTCGTGGCCTCCCAATCTGCGTGTCTTCTCGAGGGTTGCTATTGGCTTTGTCAGATGCAATGATATGCAACCTGGGTTGAGTGTTCTTGTGATCATCGAGTTGGACTCTTAATCGAAGCGAGCGGTCACGTTAGACTTCACCAAATCCAACAATTTATAAGAGGCATACGGGGGATAATCATCGAGTGCAATTAAGTTGTTCTACTAGCTTCCATCATCATGTAATTGCGCTTTTCAAATGTATGTTTCGGAACTCTTTTCCTCAGTAGCTCTCCTGCAATTAATACATTACGACGCGTTCCATTCTCTTAGTCAATTCCATCGATAAACGGTTCAGCCTTTACGTTTTACCATAACGGAGATATATTATGTTCTACACACACCTTTCCTATTCAGTCAGCTGAGGAAAATATGATTTCTTCTTTACTTCCCCTCCAACATTGAGATGAGAACTCAGGAGCTAACCTATCCACTAGCTAGCAAGGCCCTCACTTGCGAGCGCGAGTCCCTGAATGGCAGAGAGCCCGTACTGCGCGATGTCGTTTGTGGAAATCCATGAAACCTCTTCCACTCCCGGTAACAGAACCGCAGAGCCATTCAGCTTAGTTGTCACACCCCACGCCTTATCTGCCCCCAGTCCATCCGTGTTGAAGAATTCATTCCAAGTCCGTGCCGCCAAGGTGCTGTTCCCCGTCTGCTGGTAGTAGTAGGCAGAGAGTCTAGCATGGCCCTGCTTGAGGCTCACACCCGAGAAGCTAGAGCCATACCTCGCCTTTTGTTCTACGCCACCAGCGCCGTAGTAGTAGCAGTAGTCAAGCCAGGCTTGGGGAAGGCCCTCGGGAGCATCGTCTCCCCAATACTCAATGGCCTCTGAGAGAACCTCGGGCTCTCCAAACACGGCTGACAGATGAGAAATGTCGACTACGCCTGCATTATCAGGATCGGTAGGTGGCGAGGAGATGGACTTCTTTTCAATGTCATAGAGACCCTCTCCAGTGACGAAACCATTCTTGAGCTTCGCAATTCCAGCAGCTGTGTTGGTCAGCTTTTCTTTGGCCTCCTGCCAGCGGGATCCTCTTCGCTCCCACTCAATCAGCCATCCAGCAGCCAGTGCTGCCCAGTCGGTTCCAAGCGAAATGGAAACTGGCTCTCCTGGCGCTGGCTTCCAACCATCGGTTCGCACCTTGCGATGGGCGTCCAGGATCCCGTATGTTTTATCAGCGTCCAAGGTCTCCTCAAGCAGCTCTCCAACGCGCTCATCGCCACCTGTGAGGAAGTAAAAGTACTTGCGGTATTGGGGCTGCGCAATTCGCGCCTGCTTGGCACTATCAGCAAAGTGAAGGACACCATGTCTGGTCCCCAGACCCTTCCAGTCACCGGTATGATAAACGTCCACCTCGCCGGTGTGGCGTGTCAGGGCTTCTGCAAATCTGTAGACATCCGCACGGCCTGTCCTCAGGAAGTATAGCCAAAAGAACAGGTCCGGAGACAATTCAGAATTGTCCCAAGCATAACCTCCGATGTCGTATCTCCACACATGCCTGTCTACATCATATGTATGCATGAAGTCGCCATAGTGGAGGAAACCATACCACCTTCGACCCTCGATTTGGCCCTTGTAATATTCGATGATGAATTCAAGGTTTTTCTCGATCGCCGCAGCTTGTGACTTGGAGGTATGTGGAGCAGCCCAGTATGATCCCAGCGCTCTTGTCTGTTGAATGTGATCGGATTTAGCAACCAGTGCCGGAGGTTCATCAAGATGCTTGCTCAGCAACCCAAGATGGTCGCTGGATGGTGTTGCATCAAAGGCGTGCAAAAAGATCTCATGAGTCTTGGCAATACCAGTAGGCGTATCAAAACCTGGTTCGTAATCCTCGTAGGTGATTTCCAAAGCGTCGAGTTGCTTGGCATACGTGTCTTGGCCCAACCCATCGTGGTATGGGCGTAGATCCAGAGGCCCTGCCTCCGGGCTGTAGAGCCACAGTGTAATCTCGCCGTTGTCAGTCGCAGCATTGGAGATGTCCAGGCCAGTAGGGAATTGCTTCCAGAAATTTCTCAGCCCAACAGCCAGGCCACCCTTGGTAGATCCTCCAAGATATGCCAGGCCGTCGGAGCGCGGTCCAGTGGAGACGTCAAGCCAGCTCTGCCCTGCCTTTGTGCGCTTCTTGATCTGGAATCCATCTGATGTGAGCTGTCGCAAGCTGAAGTCATTCCAGGCTGGGATCCAATGCATCCTGGATGATACCCTAGTATCCCAGGTACTGATATCCGGGGTCGATTTACCCTCATATTGTGCCACCTTCACAGCAGTACCAGGATCCCGTCGCAACCCCGTGATACCCTTAACGGCCTCGGTCAAGAAGCCGCCATCTGAGCCTGAGATTCGGACATGTCTGTTGTATAGCTCTTCCCCTTCCAGTGGAACCTGGAATCGAATACCAAGACCGGAGATGAAATCCTTCTTCCCATCTCCATTAAACACAATGCTGTGCACAATTCGAATGGAGTTGGAGTTGGAATACAGATAAAATCGAACGACGAACGGAAGCCAATCATTGTGTTCACCTCCGGCTAAGACGCGAAACTGGCCTCGCGTCGTCACCAAGGCTCGTACAGATGTATCTTGGCTGACCGAAACTTCTTCAATATTGCTCTCAAAGTTGAAATAATCAACTGACGTGTTGGTTCTCGACTCGACGTCGTTTGCCAGAGCAGACTGGGATGAGAGAACAAGCTTTCCGTTGGTCCCAACAACGTTCCCACCTGCCGTTTCGATGCTGCTGACCAGGACACTGCCCGCCTTGGGGAATGTCACAGTGACCTTTCCCGTATCAACGGTGATCCCATCACCAGACTCTTCCACTGACAGATCTCTCTTCTGAGGAACTGATCGTTTTGACACACTCTTGGGTGAGGCATTGATCGTAAACGAGTCTGGTACGGATTCAGTCGCAGGGATGGCGTGCCCAGACCACTTAATTGACCCATCACGCCAGTACCCTGTGATCCATGACTGAAGCGAGCTGTTTCCGCCGCTTCCCGAAAGACTGAAGGTAGTGGAATTGGGATAAAGCGCTCCTTCTGACCAAGGCACACCGAAGCTTGCGCCAGGGAAGTAGCCCGGAGTATCCCCAATCCAATTGATCTGAACACTGGTCGCGCTGTAGTTTGTAGGCTTCGCGGAAGCAATAGTAGCAAGTCCCAGGACTGCTGCAAGTCCGGGGGAGACGTGCATCGTGGAGAAAGATGACAAACTGTCAGCAACAGACTTGTCGCTATTGGTAGAGGGTTATCTCCAGACCTCAACGTGCAAAGGACGGCTGAGAAGGCATATTATGAGTGATTCAACCACATCTTATACAATCAATCGGATGTGGTGAGGTCTAATTTCACAACGCTTCCACCTTCCTATACTCGGCCTTCGGAGCAATGTCTTCGGTGTAATAGTAAAGCGAGTTAACACCAACATCGCGAAACTAAACCGCTGATCTCCCAAAGCGCTCCTATCGCCGGACACAATTGGGATTAGCTACTTCTCGTCATTTACCCCTTGCATGCGGGGAAGATTTCGTGCCAACAGCAGGCGAACAAGGGTCCACATCAGTGTGGTGTTCTGCTTGAGGCTTCCAAGAAATGCCAAGTTGAAGCCTCGACTGCCGTCGATTGCGCGGCCATGATGGAAGAATACCGCTCAATGGGCCCACCTCACATGAAATATGCATACTACCGAAATTAAGAGTGACCTTTCGACGCTCCAGTTGATACTGCCTGGTACCTGATTCATCATCCTGTTAGCTTCTTATTGGTGGACTTACCCCGGACTATGATTGACGCCAACATTGAGCAATGTTGCGCCAGACGAGAAAATCCAAGACCACTTTTATCCCCAGCCTTAGCCTAAAACACACGAACTTGGTCTCTTGTTTCCAGCACAAAGATGAAAGGATTATTTGAAAAGAAATCAATGATCCAAATGCTTGGTTTATATACTGAACCCCGGCTCCCTAAAATCATCCAGAACTTGTGGGTTAGATTTTCAGCAGCCTTTCTGTGAAGCGCCATTGAGATGAAGTTGAAGTCTACTGAACGTACCATATGAGACCCTCTCGGAGGTATACTCTCCGCAGAGCCAACTTGAAAGGCAATCTTAAGGGTAATTTCGTTAAGAACTGTAGCTTCCATGAAATCATCACGCACCTGGGCACAGTTCGACTTAAGCATCCAGTTCCGCAGCGATTAATCATTCGCCCAAGACATGCAAGGTGCCTGTGCGACACCAGAAAAAAGAAAACTACCGAAAGACCGGCATATCTTCTCCAGATTGACTGATCTGTTCGTTGATTTGCCCAGCGGACGACTGAGAATGTCCGGGGAGGCGCCAATTTGGCAAAGCGCGTTTTCGGTACGTACCCCAAAAGTCCGGAGAGCTTAGTAAGGAAACACCCGAGGATCATCCGAGGCTGAAACACATTCCTGCATCACATAAATGAGGAGCCTCAGGTTCAAAGTAAGAATGTTCATGGGCATTTGAATAGATCAAAGGTAGGTTTACCTAGGTAGCTGAGTGAAATTCGTCTATCAATATAAAGGAATTTTCTGTATATCTAAGTGAAGTTTCTAACGAATCTCTCGACTCCACTTATTTATGCTCTATGATTGGATAGCGCGCTTTCAGTGCTGACAGGATGCCGGATGAGTCACTGAACACAGGCAGTAGCGTGCACTAACACCAAAATATTACATCACGGACATTTCGGTATTTCGTTGTTTTCCAGAGACATCTTGGCCTAAGGTATATAAAAATACTGAGCCTTCAACCATTGCTGACAAAATCATTCAATTGAAGCCCATTCCATACCACATCGCGACAATTTCAGCAATTCTCACCATTCAAATTAAAGTAACTTCTGCTTATCACACCACCGACTCACGGAGTTTTACCAATCCTTAAGACTCGAAACACCCCAGAAACCTATTCAAAATGGCGTCTGCAACATCAGTTCCCGCATTCTACCGGTTCTTCTTCAAGAATCTCGACCCTCTCGTGGCCATTTATGGGGTCTATCTCAATTTCTTCGCCCAGGAGATGGCTGTGACCGGGCCCGCACCCAACTCTCACTACGATCCGAACCAAGTCTTTCTCTTCTATCAATGCGGCGGATTGGCGCTTGCCATTACCTTCATTACAGCCGCGGTCCACCGAGCTACAGAGGACCTCAAGGTCTGGAGAGCCGTCCAATTTGCCATCTTACTGGCTGATCTGGCTGCTCTTGTGGGCATCTATCTTTCTCTGTCCACCCAAAACAGGCTCGCTCCCAGTGCCTGGACCGACGACGACAAAGGACTTCTGGGAAGCTACGTTTCTTTGACCTTGATTCGACTCGCATTTATCCTCAATGTTGGATTCCCTCAAGGGAGCATTTTGGGAGAGAAGCAAAAGGTGTAATCCTGTTCCAGGATGACCTAAGTTTTTTGCACAATTCTGGCGGCTGAACTGGACTGTTTCACTGCGTCAATGGGTCGGAACTTCTTCTAGTTGATCACGCCTTGTATAAAGCGTTTGTTAAAAGCTTTGATATATGGCAAGCAATAATCGTGGGGAAAAGTTGTGGAAGCAAGGTCATGGCTTAGAAGAATAGAAACCTAAGAACGCTTTCGAGGAAGCTCGAAAGCATAATGCCTAATAAAGTCAGTTATTGTGTGCGCGGTTTGACAATTGTGCAAAATATAGATGGAATTGGATCAGTTTCACATCAATCTCAGAAAATCTGACCAGTGATAACTGTAATTGTTGGTATCATTGAAAAATGATCATCAATAGTCTAAGCAGCTAAATAAACACCAGATGACCAGACAACATCAAACCAAATCGGTTTATCGAAACACAGAAGTGAACACTTTCACGATAGACAATGAGCACCATCTATGCGTCGCTGCTAACCTTGGATTTCCGCCCAATACCAATCATGTGGCCCATTTCAGTCCAGAATCCGACCGGCGGTGTTTCAATCGAGTTCTCATAGGTCTCAATCATGGGGCGCTCCCACACAAGATCAACCTCATGTGGCTTAATATACTTAGTCTTCTTGAAGATCTTCCATCCGAAAAACAGAATCGGAGCCAGTAGCTGCATGGTGTAATTGGCAAAGAAATTCTCCACGCTCCATGGGACAAAGGAGGTGTATCCGTACGCGAGGGCGATGATGAGCTGGGCCGTCAACGCAATGTAAGCCCCGTATGGCTGGAACCACCCGTAGTAAGGTCTTGACCTGCGATCGACGCCTTGCGCCTCGCATGCTTTATAGTAGTTGATAAAGGTGATAGACATGATCATGAATGTGATCAAACCGCCGCCAGTCACGATGGTCGTCAACCAGCTCAAGACTTTAGCCGAGCCATTGCTGACCTGGAGGAAGGACAAGAAGGGAAACAGCATGACAACCATAAAACAGTACACCGGTACACCCTTCTTATTGCAATAACGAAGAACCTTAGGTGCCCGGCCGTCAAGTGCCAAACCATATAGAGTTCTCGTTGCACAATAGGTGTAGGTATTTCCGGCTGAGAAAATCGAGGTAAGAATGAGGAAGTTGACAAGGTGGGGGAGAACACCAATTCCCATGTTGCTCATCGCGATAACGTATGGCGAGGCTGCCGCAGAGCCACCTGCACCATCTCCAAAATAAATGTTGTAAAGGACTGGGTCATTGTACGGCACAACAACCGACACGGCAAGAGCGCCAACGACGAAAAAGATGCAGAAGCGGAAGTAAACGGTCTTGAATGCCGCCTTGATGTAGACACTGGGACGCTTTGCTTCGGCCGCCACCATGGAGATGTACTCGGGTCCGACGACAGTGAATGAAGCGCTCCAGAGAGCGGCGAGGAAGCCCTCGAAGCGTCCCAGGTCTCCCTTTGTGATGTACTCGGCAAAGGCTCCTGGACTTGACCAGTACCGGAAGCCGTAGGCATCGTGTAGTGGATTACCACCAACCATGGTCACAAACGTGAAGGCAAACAGGATGAAGATCAGGATGAGCTTGCCTCCTGAGAGCCAGAACTCGGCTTCACCATAAAACCTGACGGCAAGAATATTAATTGCACTAAAAGCAGAGGCATTGTTTAGCATTCATCACATCGACTTGTACACGCGGATGTAAAGCAACAGGTAAGAGAAAGAATAACCAGGAATTTGGGCGGAACTCAGCAATCACACAAGCAGGACTGTCTTACCCATAGAGCACAATAACAGCAGCACATACACCGGCGGTGGGGCCGGGGGTCGTAATCTCTTCACTCCAGAACGACATTGTGAAAGTCAATGCGGTGACCTCGAACGGGATGATGAGAGCTTCGTAGATGAAGAAGTTCCATCCCGCCAGGAAACCGAGTGCGTCATCAACCCAGTAGCCTGCAAGACGGACGAAGCCGCCGGCCACGGGCATGTAAGTATTCATTTCAGCGATTGAGTTATTGACGAGGGCGAGGATGATTGAGTAGACAGTGTAGGCAATCACAAGGCTGGCAGGTCCGCCCTTGGCGAGGCCGCCTCCGATGCTGATGAACAGGGCCGTGCCGATTGAGCCGCCGGCCGCAATAAGCTGGATCTGCCGGTTGTTTAAGCGGCGATGAAGGCCACCCACGAGCGCATTGCTTTGGCTGGGGTAGATCTCCTCGATACTCCCGACGGTGCCCAACTCGGGCTGACCGAGCTTGGTCGTCTGCTTCTCATCGTCAGACGCCATCATGCGGCGGTTTATATGGAGGGATAGTGACGCGGCAAGGAATGATTGAAGTAAAAGATGGACGTGCAAGGAGTTGTTGAAGGCTCATTAAAATGAGAAGCTGTTCGCTCAACGGAGAAGTCATGGATAATAGGGCCGAGGGAAGGCGGCATTTATAGTCTGGGAATATCCAGAACGTTAGGTACATCTCCCCCAGCCTATGAGTGCAGATCAAGGTAGTGGACGTCTAGACCGAATTGTCATTATCCAAGGAACACGATGGCAAAAACGCTATCGGGCATCGCGAGAGTCCAATCAACGACAGGTTAGCCCGGATCATCAAAGCCTCACACCCGGATGCGATCTCTTGTTTGGGGCTAGCTCAGACACCCCAGCTTATCAGGTGTTGCCCGGGCTCAATACCAGGCTCAGGCCATTGTGAGGAGTAACCACGTTATGGAAGATGGTGGAGTGGGGATGGGCAGGACACCCCTCAGCATTGAACAGGCCTTAGAAATGGTGGGGGTGAGGCAGCCAAGCTCAGTTGGTTGCTTGACTCAAGATTGGCCAGGTTCCTATCGAAATATGATAGCAAGGTACACCAGGAAACATAGAGGTTTTGCGCCAGGTGGAAGTACCTGCAGATGGGTCTCCTGATAAGAAGCAGCGTGATATGGTTTACCGGCGTTCAGTTCAAGTGGGCTACCCTCAATACAACGTTGGGGGGCCGCTCAACTTGTGGCAAGGCCACTAGTCAGTTAGCCTGGGGGAAGTGTGGCATGACTCTACCAATGACGTGCAAAATCTGGAGCCGCCCAATGGTTCTGGTCGTAAATCTCATCAGTGGGAGGGCGGCTGAGGGTATTGACTCGTGGCTGCCGGCTCGTTCAATGGGAGTTGCCGATGACTTGTAACAAGGGGTTGAGAATGCAGAAAGGTTTGCTCCCCTCCTTCATGCGAGTGTGTATGCATGCATGTGCGTTTGTTTGCCCGGTCAGAGGGATCGGCATCAGGGCCCTTGCATAATGGCAGTCCATCACGGGCTGACAACTGACAGACTGTTCAGCCGTTCTCATGTGTCAGAAAGGGTATCGACCAGCATGATAAGCCATCCCCAGCACACTTGTCGTTATCAATCCAACGGCGCCACCAAGTCCTGTAGCTCCGCGGACAAGAGTGGGCGATGATGCTCGGCCTCATTGTCGGGCAATCCCCCAGACTCTCGAATGGGATGGGTCAGGCCAAGACACCAGAATCCGGGGTAACGAGATTGCGTGCGGCTACGCTTGCCACGATTTGCCGCTCCTCAGCTCCATGGATCGGTGCTATATTGGGTCTAGAATTGGATGGACCCTAGACGGCGGGCCCGTACTCTCTTTCAATTAACCCGATTCTTCTCTTGTCTCCGCAGACTCTCTTTCGATTAACTGTATTTAACGTGATAAGCTATCTATGGAGTTCAGGTCGGGCCCGCGGCTCGTTTGAACCCCATGACACCTAACACATGCGTATCAGCTCGTAGATATCAGCCAACCTTCCAAGACCTTACCCATCACAGTCTGTGAAGTGAGATCCTCGAAGCCGGCCTGGTTTGGATGCTCGCTCTGTCGATTTGTCGGGGTGTAAGGCACGTATCCCCAATCAAAATGTGAAAGTCTAGACTTTGCGATGTGGAAGTCGCCCAGGCTGTTCTACACCCGTCGCCCCCGGTAACGATAGGCCAATTTCTCTTCCTCGCCTCAAGTAGACGAATCTGGTGAGTAAAATGTCTTGCCGTCTGCTGAGCATATCCAAACTCTGTTCTGCCGCCGCGCAGACAAGGAACACGAGGCGCAAACTATGTGTGGCCATCCACAGCAAGCGAAGTAGGCGAACGCCGCCCCCAAGCTTCGTGTGTCGAGGCCAAGGATGAGCATTGCGGTTACCTATAAGCAGTCGCCTGCGAAAGATGCAATTGAGAGCAAGATGCTCAAAGCAAGATGCTCAGCTGCGCCACAGTTTGGTGGTTGGTGCCTGAGGTGGAAGTGAACTCTGAGAAACGAGGCGCAGTGGCAGCCTGATCGATGTGGCGGAGAGTGAGAGAGAAGAAGGAGCGACCTGGTGCGACCACCGTGATTCACTCCAGCTTCTGCGCTCAGAATCTTCTCACTTTCGATTGACCTTCAACATGCAAAGCGCTCTATGCCGTCCCTCGGAAATACGTTCTCCTGTCCATTTCCCACCCATCGTCGCAGGCTTACTTGGCCAAGACCCAGAGTGATGGTCCGCTTGGGGTTCGCGTAGGCAATCCAAAGCCTAGTCGCACAGCTCAGCGGCAGTTGGTAAGAGCAAGTACTCTCCAGCGGAAGAATGCAATCAACTCTCGTCTCTGCATGCACAGCAATCTCGCTCTTCCATCTGCGCACCCAGAGGTTCTCGTTTTGTGTTTCTTGACCATTGTTCCGCCCACTTCTCACTTCGACTGGCATTGTCCTTTACCTTCTGCCCCCCAAAGTTCGCCCGACGAAACCTTCCTACATCCTCCTCACCTGCACCTTCACCTTTTGGGTTTCTCGTCACTCGATCCAAATCTACATACTCTCATGGCCAGCGTCCAGCAACACTGAAGTCGTATCTGATTACGACGCCGCCTCTCCTGTCTAAGCCTTGGGTCAGGTCAGCCTGGTCCAGCGACGACTGACAAGATGGGCTACCGCGAGTTCAAAGCCGATCTAGCTGCCGCAAAGAGCTCAAACTACGATCGAATCTCGCGCCTCCGCGGTGGTGAATTGGAAGGCGAGATCACTTTCCTCTACGAGCATGATGAGCCACTATGCCAAGTCGAGATCCAAGTCATCATTCAAGGTATGTGGATCTTCCCCAAGCAAAGATGATTTCTAACAGTGGACTTCCTCCAGATGTCGAAAACTACCCCAATAGTCGCGCCGTGCTGCTTTTCACTGTCTCCGAAGACGTTGACAAGGGTTTCATCGACCGCCTCCAGAGAATGACGCCTCACCTCGTCCAAAAGTCTATCCATGAAGCCATGACGGAATTCTCGAGGCAGATGGCCACTTCCAAGGGTGGATCGCCCGCTAAAGTGCCTACTGGAGCCATATCCCCGGATTCCGAAGACGAGCTCACCCCTTCACTGCAGTCAGAGCCCTGGGATTTGTCTGATTTGGAGTCTGATGCTGATGAGGATATGTACACGGGTCTCCGCCTCTCCACAAAGAGGGAGACGGAAGATTATTCGCCAGTAGCCATCCATCAGAGAGATGCTACAGATCAACAACGAAAAGACTTGCTTCAAGCAATGCATCGTGGATTTTCCATCGGCGTCAATGGCCGCCGCCAGAACCAGCTCGGTGACATCTTTTCCTTGGCCGTAAAGGTCTCGGAGTTGGGACTCACAGATAATGGCCTTGCCTGGGGCTTGAAACCCACCGACTACGTTGTGATGCTCTTGAAATTCCCTCAGGGTTACCCTTCGCCTTCAGAGTACCAGAGCCTTCGTGGTAAGCAGTCAGTTGCCCTTGTTCGGTTTGGAAAATGCTCCTTCGCGAAGCCGTCCAACGTCTCTGCCCAAGCAGCTTTTCACAACGATGCAAAAGGCAAGGCCCCAGTACGTCATGCTGCCTATGACTCGGCAGCATTCATCCCACTGTATCTCTTCAACCCCATCACGAACATTCTCAACGAATACCTTCCAGCCCTATTGCAAACGCGGAGAGACCTTAGTATTTCGTGGAGCGAGGCGCAAATCTTGCATCACCGTCAATCAGAAGGCTCTCATATTCGAGACGACGCATACCGCTCCACCACAGAGGACCATGCGGCCGAATTGAAGGATAAACTACCTTCAGCAACACCCACCCACTGGGTCCTATCCCAGGACGACGCTCTGGTGCACGAAAATCAGCTCAGCATTCCCTTGATTCTCATGCAGTTTGCACTGCAGAGCGTAATGAAGAGTGGCAAGTTTTGCATCAATTGCCATGAACACCTGGAGGAGGGTTTTGAGGCTATGAAGCCGTATGTCTGCTCACGCCCATTATGTCTCCACCAATACTATTCATCCGGCCTTGGCCCAGGCATCGAGCACGACATACTCACGGCCCCTTACGTCGTCGATCTTGTCATCAGCTTCTTCTATGCGGCGGTCATGAGTCGCCGTATCCGCGAGTTGCCTATAGGACTCGGACTTAAGACATTCCGCCCTGGCACTCCCGAATCCCCGCGCCAGAATCATGAGGCAACGGCCTGTTTTGTGACTAGAGCTGCAAAATGTGACTTTCCTTACCCAGGTTTCCGGAAGGGAGAGAGACTGTTGATGGTTGTCAGGGATGAGAAACTCCTTCCTGGATATCCAATCTTGAAAAGCCGTAAGAACCCCCCCGTACCCATATACATTTGTACGCCAGCTAATTGATGAGCAGTTGCCGAGAAACACCTGTGTGAGGTGACAGATGTAAGCATGCTTGGGTTCGATTTCAATATCCTCCAGACCTGGTCAGCAAGTTTGGGAGACTTGGTCGAGTCTCAGCATCAGAAGTCATGGGGAGGGGCACCACCGAAAAGAAAATGGAGAAGTGTATACGTATACCGCTGCGTCAATGAGTTTGATAATCTCAGAGAGAGTGAGCGTCATGACGCATTGCTAATCATGACTTGTGGCATCCCGCCTGTCACCAAAATGAGGGAGTTTCTGCTGGCAAATCCCTCCCAGAAGTTGTCTTCTTGGTCTCACCTTGACCATCCGACTTATAAACTACTGCATTGGATCGTCGCCTCCAACAGATCACTCATTGTGTACGATGACCATGGGAGAGGCCTAGAAACCCCGGGCGGCACCAAAGTCATCGGGATGGAGGAAGGTTGGATGCAATTCCGATTCCTACAGGGCTCCCCAGAGAAAGAAATCAGATTCATGGAGCAGATAGCATCCGCGTTTCCCGAAGATCCAGCATCTCCCTCCACGGCGATCCCGACCTTGTTCGCCTTCCATGGCAGCCCATTGGGGAACTGGCACAGCATCATTCGATCCAGTCTTGACCACACCCAGAGAGAGAACGGGCGGGCCTATGGCAAGGGTGTCTATCTCAGCAACAGGTTTGATACAAGCATCCAGTACTGCAGGCCCAAGAACGACATGGGTTTTAACCCCATTGTGAGAACTTCGAAAATCTTCTCATCTGTTCACCTCGAAAATCCAGCTAACCCCTGCTTCCCTCTACAGGTGGATGAATACTGGCCGCGTTCAGTGCTGAAGGTTGCTTCTGCGATTGCCATTTGCGAAGTGATCAATCGCCCAGCTCAATTCGTGTCAATGGTCCCACATTATGTGGTCGAGGATATTGATTGGATCCAGTGTAGGTATCTCTTCGTCAAGGTTGGCGACTCCGTGCCAAGGATCGATACCCCAATCGTGTCCCAGAATTCACTAGGCTACCTCAGACAGGATCCTGCCCGGAAGCTCCACGGAAAGCTGGAGATTCTGATCCCAACATCAGCAATCCCCGTCTCACGCCTGAAGATGTTCCCTCATCTTGCCGCTCGAAGTCTTCCAAGTGATTGGACAAATGATCCAGGTCTTCCAAGTGAATGGACAAATGATCCAGGCTCCCAGAAGGAGAGTGAGGCTTTCCAAGGAGAAGACTTGGACGGCCTCCTTGACTCAGCCGACGACATGATTGAATAAATCTGTGGCTGGCAAACGCATAGCGCAATGCGACCAGCATCGATGAAGATCAGCCAGATGCTGAGTTTTGTTTTGCTAGGCCGTTTCGGCCATCTGAGGTTCGGTGACCTGTAATGGTTGGTTGGCGTGGTCAGATTTCTCGGTAACGTAAAAAATGCACACGGATTTTTGTTTTTTGAGCTCTCTGTCTAGCTACTAGGTAGATAATTTCAGATGGAGAGAGTGCATAGCAAGGGTTTTATTCAGACAAAAAGGAACGATCTTTGTAGCTAGGGAGCTATTACAACACAAAATGGACTGATCGTATCTCATGTTCAATTCTGCGCTTCTCTTTACAGTAGAGCACTTCTCTGTCATGGCTTTTCCAAAGCACAGTGCTCAAGATAGGTCCCTTGTGCAGTTCTCATGCCTGCTTGCTGGCTGGCACTTCACTCAGGTACTCAACCTCGGTGGTCGTTTCCTCCGGCTCAGTCGCGGAGGACGTCAACTCTCCTGTGCCAATCTTTCGGAGCACAAGCCAAGCAGGGAAAATAGCGATCCCCCAGAGACCAAAGTTGATATATGCAGCGCCGCACTCGGCTATGACAGTCTGGGAGCCAATACCATAGCTGATGGCCTGCCAAGCTGACTCGGTTGCCCTCAGGATGGCGGAGTATCGAACAACTTCCTCTTCATTGTTAGACAGGTGTTGCATGATGAAGTAGCTATATATCGGGCGTGGTCAGAAATCTTCATCCGGGGTGAGTCATGTGGGAATAAGAAATACGCACAGAAACATGTAGTTGAGGTGGAAGGAGAGGTTGAGAAGGACAAAGACGCCAAATGCAGCGCCAAAGCCGGGTGTTCCCCAGTCGTACATTGGCCGAGATTCTTTGAAAATGGTCACGTTGTAGGTGCACCAGAGCCAGAAACCACCGTGGAGTGCGGCAATTGTCCAGAATGCCCATCTAGCCCTTGTCTCCAAGGGAGTTTTCGACCGATCAAGCCAATACTAAGAGAGGGGCTATCAGTAATTGGATCCTTCTTTGTCGAGAATTTACTCACCCCTAAAACATTTCCAGAGGCAACGGCGACAATGCCCGAGAGAAAAGAGCCGAGAGCTCTGGCTCGGACCGTAAACCATACTACAAGATTCTCAAGTCAGCGAGCATAATTGGATAAGAGGTGCAACAAACGAAGCATACGTGAAAGATATGTGAAGTACACAGCCTCCCCAAAGACTGCCTGTCCGATCCACAAGATGAGCAGCAAAAAATTCTTGGTGAGGAATGTTTTTGTCGTCCGCTTGATCTCTGGCCAAGGATTCCTCTCGTCGATGCTGAGCTTGACCTTCTTGCCGTCCTCTCGCTCGACTTGCCCGGGGTTGTTTAGGAGCAGACCTACAAATGGGGCCAAGCATTCGATGGTGATGAATATTATGAAGACGGTCGCGGATACTTTGCCCGCCTCATCCCGATCAGCGTTCAGGCCGAGGTTGATGGCACCACCCAAGACTTGGCCTGCCAGCCTGTATGTCATCCAGTACTACAAGAGATATCCAGTGTAAGCCGAGGCAAATGAATGCGCTAAAAGACAAATAAACTAGTCAGCTTACGCCTAATGCTTTGCCACGGTTCCAAGGCTCAGGGTATGCGATTGCGATGGCGGCTTCGGCCATCCAGAAAACACCCGCAGATATGCCACAGAGCGCTGCTCCAACAATGACGAGCCATGAAACGCCGTGTTTGTTGTTAAGGAACAGCCCCGCGGCCATGAAAGGAAATCCCAAGCTATAAGTCTTCCAGTTAGTCGGCAGAACACTCTCCGCCATGTGACATTTACAGCGATGACAGATATAGAATACGCAACATACGTCCCGAAAACCAGGGCCCCTTTTATGCCAATATAATGAACAAAAGTTCCAGAGAACCAGCACGATAGGACCATCAGACAAAATGTCAAGGCATTGCTCGTATTCACCAGATAGGGCTCCTGTTCTCCGCCGCCGCCGAGGCTGTTGATCGCAACCCAGATTCCAGGAGCAGCAAAGTTGCATAAGCCAAGTATCGTCATATTATAGAAGGTCGAGCGGTACCAACGAACTACAGTATTGCTCTCGAGTCAACGGAGTTCAAGTTCATCGTCATGGGGGCTTACGGGATCCTACCGGGATGTCTTTCCTCTGGCGGCGGCGGCTCTTCATTCCCAGAGCTCACATCAGTTGATGCCATGGTCGTATATCAATCGCTAACAGTAATGTTCTCTTTACTCTCAATTCCAATAACTTCAACGGCATGGCGTTCGCATTCTCCCGTTCTCCTCAAATCGAACGGGTCTTTATACATTCATTAAAAAGCCCATCCGTTCCTCCGACCGAACTTGACAGCCCATTCGGGTCACGCAATAAGAATTGTATATTCAACAATATTGAGGTCTATTCCTAAAGTGTGATTAGTCTGGAGTTTATCGTGAATAGAAATGGCTCAATTGCGACTTCAGTCAAACCATTCTTCAAGGCCCCTATATCAGACATGAGTTAATAAGGTGATTATGGTGACCGGTGGTACCACGATAAGAAAGAGACTCATAATGAACTTCAGCTGGCGGGACGATGAACGCGGTAGATCTCGGGATGGAAAGTTATCATGCAACACGTTATTGCGCGCTGAAATGGCGGGATTTCATCCCTGCAACTTGCATAATATCAGTGGGTTACCAAGTTGCTTTCTGTACTTGCTTGAATGTCCTGGTAATTCACGAGGCAAAGTAAATTTCAACTGGAAATCCTCTCAAAAGTGAACCGTTCCTTAAACCCTTTGGAAATTATATATATTTTCACCTACCTTTGACGGTCCCTATGGCAAATATTCCATGACGTACATCCTCAGAAAACCACTCTTCTGACGCGAACTAGTATCCCAGTACAATTTCCATGCTGCTCTCTTTCTCAAACCTCAATGTGGTTCAATCGAATCCTACGGGCTGCTGTAAGGCTATACTGCTATTCATACGTGTGACAAGTCGAAAGCGTACAAGCCTCTTCCATCATGTGTGCATTTCACGAAGCCAGGCGCAGAGCAGCGCCAGACCAACCATCGAAACCACGGCTCATAAGCATGTTATGATCTCTGGCCCCGCCACATGCTCAACTTACTGGACAGACGCTCAATTCCAGGAAGACTTTGCAAGCATTCTTACTGGAGGATCTATCCATGAAGATTGCTGACGAGACGTCTTTGCATGTACCTTCCCTTGACTCGGCCTCCTGTATTCTGATACAGCAACAGCCAGGAATGGTCCAGACAGATATCAAAGACACAGGTAGTTTGCATGTACCTTCCCTTGACTCGGCCTCCTGTATTCTGATACAGCAACAGCCAGGAATGGTCCAGACAGATATCAAAGACACAGGTAGTTGTATTTCTTTCAGCTTTGGCCCGGCCTTTGGCTTGGTAACTATTCGGCGCCTCAATTGATGATATTACAGTAGGAAGACCTGTCAGGCCAGATGGAAAACACCGATAGATGATATCTTGCAGAGAATTAGTGGTATAGACCAGTTCAGAGATCGGAAAATGGATTGTCAGTCTACCCAGTCCTCGCAGTTCCAACCGTTGAACTACTCCTGACAATGACATAAGGCGACTCAGAGCAGGTGACTCGCTTGGGTTTTCTTCCGGCCAGGTCCTTGGTTGACCAGGACTGGAGCTTCAGTGAGATAATAAACATCGTGTCACGGAGAGAAATGCGCATCGAAGAGATGGGAATTTCGGGTTCGCCATCTTGCCAGATCTCATACTTGGCCTTGTAGAGAGAAAGGTACAGAGATCTGGACCCGAAATCATGTCGTTGGGGGGGAATTGCCGTTCAAGGGAGGAACATGAAGCCATCAAAATCGCCAGCGAACAGTATTATTAGTTCGATTTCAGAGTAGCGAGGAAGGTCATTCGGTCGCAAAGGAGATTCTGTCAGTCAGCGTCCAAAAAATCGATAAATGTTGCAGTTCTGTCGGCGGAGATCGATCGTCTGTGCTCTCCGGCTGAGTCTGCTGTCATGTCAGCGTGCTGATCACAAGGCTCAGCGGGCTGCTAGAAAAACCAAGGGTTCTTCTCCCCAGCTGGCGCGAGAATACTTGCCCGTTGCAGCCAAACGACCAACAGAAGAACATGTCCAGAAGGGAATAAATTTTGCGGGGTGAGAACCAACAGTGAACAACAGTGAACCAACGATGATTGCCAATGCAAGGTGCAAAAATTCCCGATAGGGCTGTTGGTCTGGCTTCTAGACTGTGCATCCAGCTAAAGTGCGTGCGTGTATCAACACTAGATTCCGACCCATAGTTGGGTACAGTGAAGAGAGATGGAGAGTCACAGAGTAGAGCGAGACTGAGCGAGAAGGAAAAAGGGGAGAAGGAGAACGGGAGGCAAAGAACGGGAGGCAGCCAGCAAGCAGTCCAGGCAAAGGTCGGCTGGAAGTCGGCACGGCCTTGAGATGGATGTTGTCTGAGATTGATTGAGTGGTGACAGGCACCAAATAATCCCGCTGCGACCAAAAGACCAAAAGACCAAAATATCCGATGATAGTGGCGGCCGGTATTGCACCGCCACCAAAGTGCACGATTTAAGGGCGGCCTTCGGGCTTGGCGTATGAATAAATTAATCAATTAACACGTAAGAAATACATGTACGACGGGCTGCAGGAGACGGGCTGGACTTGGGACTGGACTGGAATTGTGCTCCGCCATCAGACATAAGACACCCCACAGGCATTAAAAGATGACACGGGCACGACATTTGCAGACTCGCGCGCGCGGAAACCTGAGTGTCAGTGCTACAATAGCTGCCCGGCGAGTGCCAAGTTTCATCACGTAGCAGTCGGCCAGGTATCAAATTAAGAGAGAAGGGCCATCGAACTCGAGTGATCCGCAAAGCGAGCCAAAACGAGTAGAGCCCGGGGCAAGGACACGGATTTAGCAACAGCAGCCGGTCAGTCGAGCTGGGGTCAGTATGCAGTCATTCACAGGGCTGGTACGATCCCGGCAAGGGACGGCGGATGGTTGAAGCTGAGATGCGTCTGTGTGAAGTGGGAGTGAGCCGGTGCCGAGGCCCGTGAACTGAGGCTTGGGCCCTACCTAGTGGGAAAGGGATCTTACCCAAGCTTCCAATCTAGGTGTAACTACGGAGTAGGTGTGCTGAACCGTGAGCTTGATCTCGAAATGGGATTTGATCTCGAGACGGAATAGGAGGTATGTCGGTAGGTGGCGGACCCGTTGCCGCTGGCGACTGGCAAGACTCAGCTGCCAAGCAGACTCAAGGAAAGGGAAAGAAGGCCAAGGGAAGGCAAGGAGACACTTGCAGGCCAGTCCTTGCTGAGCCCTGTAGGGAGATGCCCTATCGCCGACCTAGCACGTAGCAGAGATGGAGCCAGGAGGATCCGGCGGGGGAGTTCTTTAATTAGGATGGGCGGCCAAAAATAGGGGCAGCACGGGCTCTTCTCAGCTCGTCAGACCAGCTCTAGCGACACAGCTAGCTCTCTGTAGGACACCGCTACGGGTGGTGGAGGGATCTCACCCTCGGCTCGGGCTGTTAATAGATGTAGGGCTGGTCAATGTAAGTCACCAGGTAGGGAGGTAGTAGGGGCAATTAATCTGGTGCAGAAGTACCTGAGCCAGTGCTAGCGCGGCGGCCGATCAGGCCTTTGGTGCAATTGCGATGGAAGTCATCCACTGTAATTGAGGGCTGTACAGTAAGATGGACACTGTATCCCTGCTAGCTCAGCACTCGGTGGTGCCCAATCGGGCGATATTACATACATCTGCCCAGACTGTCTTCGGAAGCGAAGCTTTGCCGAAACGGCGACAAGCAGGGAAAGAGCACAGGGCAGAAGTGGCGGATCGGTTGCTTCTCTCCGAATCTGCTGGTGATCACGACCAAGGCCCTCTTTTTGACCGGATTTTTTCAAAAGGCATGTCAAGGCGATAATCAGGCACAGATCGATCAGCATTCATGCAAGTTCAACATTGATAGAGTTATTGATCTACTTGGACTCAAACTTGGACTCAAATATCTGGTAGCAAACGTGAAAAAAAGAGACCAAAGCACGCGTATAGGGTAGCATTTTGGCAGTGATGTTGTATCCAATCTCCTCGGCTCGATGCAGCGCCCAACTTCCCATCTCCATCTCCATCTCCACGATGTCGTTCGAAAAGGCAACCCCCGGAGTCCGCGCTCCTTTGCCAGCCAGATGCGATGTGCTTCTTGCTGCTGTGCCCTTGGCGGAGGATGCCCTCGCAGCAGGGCCAATTTCGTCAAGGCCGCTCTGTCATCCGCCATCCACCACCAGGCGGACCGTCAGCACGGCTAGAGGCCAATCATGCGTGATGGCAGCCCTCAATCTGTTTTTAGACCACCCCGGTGTACCTTGAGGCGGCGGAGTCCATGGCCTACTGTATCAGGTGCCTACTTGCTCTACGTCGACGTCGGCATCACGATCCCTGTCCGCAACTTTGGGGACTTGGGTCTCACCATCCCTGCTCGTGGGACACCGCGGGACTTTGGTCCAACAATCCCTGCCGCTTCCTTGAACGTGGCAGTCTATTCTGGCCTGCGTGTGCATGGCTGAATACCAGAACCAGAAAGCAGAGGGCCAGAAACCCGCCGTCGAAATCTATAAAGAATACACCTTTCCCGGGCCTTCACCAGACTTTCTTTCCTCTCCATCCCAACCCAACCCAACAAACAAAAAAACAATCTTCTTCTAGAGCTGGTCTCTATTCGCTTCTTTTCACCCCTATTTTTATTATTTCTCTGTTTTTGCCGGTCAACTTCAGGAACTTTTCACGCCCCCTAAAAAAATCATAAAAAAATACCTTGAAATCTTCTGATTTTTTAATTTAAACATTCAAAATGGTCGCCATCAACAACATCGCTCTCCCCACCGCCGTCGTCCTCGGCCTTGTCAGCCAGGCCATGGCCCTCCCCGTCCAGGCTACCCAGGACATCGTCGAATCCGGCCTTCTCGAGCGTGCCATCGAGGCCGAGCTCGACACCCGCGACCTGGAGGAGCGATTCAGCATCGGCAAGGCCTTCAAGAAGGTCGCCGGCGTCGGAAAGAGCCTTCTCGGCTTCCGTGACCTCGCCGAGCTCGACGAGCGTGAGATCGAGGAATTGGTCGCACGCTACTACGACGACTCCGAGCTCGACACCCGCGACCTCGAGGAGCGCAAATTCAGCATTGGCAAGGTCTTCAAGAAGGTCGCCGGAACCGCCGCCAAGATCCTCTTCCGTGACCTCAGCGAGCGCGACATCGATGAGCTCGACGAGCGTGACATTGATGAGCTCGTCACCCGGGCCTTTGACGAGTCCTCTGAGTTTCAGCTCGAGACCCGTGACATCGATGAACTCGACGAGCGAGACCTCGAGGAGCGCTTGTTCATCGGTAAGATGATCCGAAAGGGTCTTGGCGTCGCCAAGCACATCCTCTCCCGCGACCTCTCTGAGCGCGATCTCGAGTCCCTCGACGAGCGTGACTTGGAGGAGCTCGTCGCCCGTGCCCTTGACGAAGAGTTGGAGGAGCGTGACTTTGATGAGGAGCTGGAGGAGCGTGACTTCGACGAAGAATTGGAGGAGCGTGACTTTGACGACGAACTCGAGGAGCGTGACTTTGATGAACTCGACGAGCGCGACCTCGAGGAGCGATTCAGCATCGGCAAGGCATTCAAGAAGGTCGCTGGCACCGCCGCCAAGATCCTGTTCCGCGACCTGTCCGAGCGCGACATCGACTCCCTCGACGAGCGTGATGTCGAGGAGCTCGTCACACGCGCCTTCGACGAGTCCTCTGAGCTCGAGACCCGTGACTTTGACGACATGCTCGACGAGCGCGACCTCGAGGAGCGCAAGTTCAGCATCGGCAAGGTCTTCAAGAAGGTCGCTGGCACCGCCGCCAAGATCCTCTTCCGTGACCTCGGCGAGGAGGAGCTCAGCGAGCGTGACATCGAGGACATCGTCGCCCGCTCTTTTGAGGAGCACGACGACCTCGAGTAAAGGATGGATTAGAAGCTTAATATTGTTGTATATTATTTAGACACCATTTTGTTTAATACAGTAGATTTCAAGAATTCTTTTTGGGTACTTTCACTTCTAATCTCGACTATGAATGCCGGTGATTTCATCATGTTCATCAATATCATGCGTCGCAGTAGCGGCTCCCAGCAATGGTTCTTTGGCTCAATTCGCAGAGCCCAATTCAATGGGCAACTCGCAGTGCCAATCATTACCAGAAACAATACACGCGACCTACCTTCCAGAATGCCGCAGTCTCCGAAAGCGTCTGACGTAAGAAACGGAGGCGATGCTACGAGCGCATCTCGCTAATAAGCTGCGCCCCTCTCCCACCTCTACTCCATATTCCTTGCTACCGAAATGCGCGCGTATACAATGCGTACAGCCATTCTCTAGAAGCTGTGGGTGCCCTCCTACCTTGATCCCTGCCCAGCGTTGTGTCAGCTTGTGCCTCTTGTGGTAATAATCTTCGACATAGTGTCTTTTACCCTTTGAGGATTGAGAGGGTGAGCTCGAGGTACTTTTGAGTACAACCGGACCTGAATGGACTCTCACCGCCGTCAGTGACTTGTGTCTCGATGCTTGAATCACAGAACACTGGGTCGAATGGTGGGCAGCCAAGGCTGCCAAGATGGTACGCCAGACACCGATGTCTTCCAACCATGATCAACGGTACAACCCACAAAATCAATAAACAATGAATAAATTGTGCAACTTATCTAACTATCAGGTCCTTTAATACGGTCAGTATGATCAATTGAAGAATGCTCATGGTGCGTAGTATATACCTTGGGTATGTGATGTTTCTCAGTAAATGTTGAAAGTGCACTTGTCTCAATAGGTGAAAAGGAGAGAGCTGTGAATGAGAAGCCGTTGTTCGATGAACCACATTCCTAGCAGAGTATCATTTTCTTAATTTTCCCCGAAGACAAATATCTCCGGCGGAAATGTTGCTGGTATTGATAATCGCTTGAACCCCCAGTCCGCTAAATTGTGGTAGGTCTAGGGTATGTGGTTTGTGCTGCCGTTGGGATAAGCGCGATCTACATTTTGCCTGTTGGTTCGCTTTGGTCTTATTTCGGGGTTCTCCCCCTGCGCACATCTCTAACCAGACCTCAACTCATCGGCTGGATAGTGATAGGTAGTGAGAACTGGCTTAGAATCTGCCCTGATCGGGTGATAGTGTTCAGCTCTTCCAATATTGGGCAGAAGAAAAGTAAGAATGAAAAAAAAAGCCACTACTTGGAGGGGAAAACCCACATCTCGGCAGAAAACCCACTTCCCCAGGCGGGTAGATATAGCGGCATCTCGGAAGAAACCCACCTCCATCACCACCCTGCCTCCCATCTACCCACGGCCAGCCTGCTCAGACATCGTTACAGCAGATTACAGTTGGTCACGCTACCCTCGTGTCGATCTCACGCAATGTCGGCCCCTGCAGAAGACAAGCCGCCCGCTGTACGCCTCAATTGTGCCCAGTGTGATAAATCATACACTAGGATCAGCCACCTTCGCCGCCATGAGGCGACTCGTATGTTACTCTCAACCATAAAAAGAATGCAACTCTGTGCTAAGACATGTTTGGAACAGATAGCGACTCGGGTCGTATTCTGTGCCCATCCTGCTCCAAGAGCTTTGTCAGGCTGTAATGGTTTCCTTTGATAGGTTTTCACGCAGTGTTGATCTGGCTAACAACTTCCCGCTGCCGGTAGCGATGTGGCACGCCGGCATATAGGACGGTGTATGGGGAATGAAGACGCACGTGTCATGTTACCCACCGCCAAGCGCGGGAAGAAGTCCAAGGCCTGTGACAGGTGCTCACAGAGCAAAGTTTCCTGTGACCTGGATCTTCCGTGCTCGCGGTGCCGGGCCGGCAGCATCCCCTGCTCATACTCGAGAGCCGAGACTGATGCGACTGCTATTCAGCACTCCGTTACGAAAGTTACCGCGGATGAGATCCCCTGGCTGCTGAAGATGACAAACCCATCCGCCGTCGCTGGCGGGGAAGACGGGGCGGCACGAGATATCTTTGCTGACCATGACCAGTTTGATGCTTTTTGGACCTTGCCAATCCCACAGGCATCTGACGAGGAACACTCTACACCTTCCACTGAGGAGGACTTCTTCGGTCATGGTCTTGCTGCGTGGATTGCGGATTCAGATGGTGATCATCCCGACTTTAACTTTGACGATTTCATGGACATCGAGCATGATGCTTCATTAGTATCCTCCATCGTCCTGAGTCGGATGGACGAGATGGTATCTTATCTTAGTATAACACACGAAAGGATGAGACAACTCGGTGTCATCGACCACGATGCCATCTTCGACACTAACCTCGCCCAGATGGTCTTCACAACCAGCAACCTGCAGTACTTCGTGTGGCTCTACTTCCAGCGCGTCCACCGCTACCACCCGATCCTCCATCCTCCGTCCTTCGACTGCGAGACTAGCTCCCTACCCCTCGTCATGTCCGTCTTCCTCTTCGGCTCCCTGTTCTCGGCCCCATTCGACAGCGCCATATCCGCCCGAGGCTTCTTTGACGTCGCCGAGGAGTACATCTTCAGCCACCCCGATCTGAGGCAGATCCTCCGCCCGGTGGGTAGCGACACCTCCCATGCGTCCTCTACAACGGCAATCGAGATCCTCCAGGCGGCCTTGACGATCGGCATGATACAGAACAGCCGTAACGACCAGGCTACTCGGCGTCGCATGCGGATCGAGCGATATCCCGTCTTCACGTCGGCGGTCCGGTTATCCGGCGCCTTCGAGGCTCGACATCGGCGGGAGGTGGCAGCCAACACAGCCCTCACGTGGGATGATTTCGTGCACGATGAGCTCAGAGTCAGGTAATCACATCATGGCAAACAATCAATCGACGAACAGGGTTTCTGATTCTAGTACAGGTTGTCCCACTGGACACAGCTCAACAGCAACTTCATCGTCGGCTGCTTCAACGGCCACACGCAGGCCTACATGTGCGAGATGACGGGCGACATGCCCTGCAGAACGGCCCTCTTTGAGGCAGAGACTTCTGACGTGTTCGAATACCAGGTCTCTCTGGAGCCCGGCGGCCCTCGGCCCCAGTCGCTTGCTGGCTCGATCTCACTTCTCCTCCAGGATTCGTGGCCCGGGCCGGACGATGATTCGTACCGTCGCGTCACGCCTGAAACATTAGCGCTCATCATCAGCTGTGAGTATTTACTACCCCTGTAATGATTCCTGCGAAAAACGGATTGATTGACTGATGTTTATTTGTTAGCCCTCGGAGTGGTCGGCGTAGTAGCAAGAACCAACTGCCTCTTCCCCCTATCGTACAGAGCCCTCCTGCGCGCCTTCATGAGGTGGAAGTCGCTCTGGGACGCCAAGATGAAGGAGAGCGAGGCGGCGAATAGGCCGGTTGGCTTTTCGAAGCACGCAATGGAGATGTGGTGGCTCTGCGTGGCGGTTATCAAGGCGCAGCAGTCCGGGGACAAGTCCAAGTACATCTCCAACATGGCCATTGATTCTTTCAACAGCGTCAATGAATTTCTGACTAGATATATCACGACGCTGACTTCTCATGAGGGTCCTGCGTGATGGGTCGTGTATCCTTGAGGATAATGGCATGGAAACGAGTTGAGGATTCACGATCACTTCCGCAGAGTATGCATCGATGTGGCTATGCTTTCAGAATCAAGAAATTTCTATAACCCTTTCAAGTGTATTCTAGATTATGCATATGTAAGTTTGCTGTAAGAATGTGCATAATCTTATCCTCCCATGACCTTTCATCCAAGGCACACGATAACTCCAGCCCGACCTGTTGAAGTACCAGGATCTACAGCTTCGAGCTAAGTGATTCCTTCTTCGTCCCTTTAACCCCCGTGATCTTCTCCCCAGAAAGCTATAAAAACAGTTAGAACAGAAAAACTTCAAACCATCTTGTTCGTTGTGTCAAGGATGGGTGCCCATCACTTACGAGGAAATCCGGATACTGGAAGGAAGACCCAGAAGGCGACTGCGTCCGCCACGCACCGCCATCAACGACCGTCGTCTGCCCAGTCACATAGTTCGCCGCATCGCTGAACAACCAGATGGTCGCGTCCGCAATCTCCTTGACGAGTCCCCATCGTCCCAGGGGGATGATCTTGGCTTGCGTCTTGGCTGCTGACGCTGAGTTGGCCACCAGCCTCTGCACGCCCTCCGTGTCGGCGATGGGACCCGGCGAGATGATGTTGGAGGTGATGCCTAGGGGCCCGTACTCTATGGCGATGTTGTTCGAGAGCGTGTCTACCCCGGCCTTTGCGACGGCAGCGTGCGTCTGCAATGGGGTCCCCGTGTAGTGGAGGGTCGCCGAGACGTAGATGATGCGGCCACCGGGCCCAGCTGCTGTAGATTTGGGGATCGCGCCCTGGGAATTGTGCTTCTTGGCGCTTTCTAGGAGATGGGGCAGGCAGACCTTGGTGGCGTTGAACGAGCCGATGAGGTCAATCTCAATCACCGAGCGGAATGCGTTCGGGCTGAGGTTGGAAACGGGGGAGAGGAAGTTGCCTGCTGCTCCGGCACTGCTTGATATTAGCCGACTTGAGGAGACGAGAAAGAGAGACACTGATACAGCAAAGACGGTAATATAAAGATGCAGACAGGGCACTCACATCAAAAAGTCAATACCACCGAGCTCCTCTACACACCTATCCACAGCTCCCTGTAGAGACTCAACCTTCCGGACATCAACGGCACCAATCCCAATCACCTTGCTCCCCGGCCTGGCCGTCGAGATGTCCTTCGCGACGGACAGGGCCTTCTCGGTATCCCGCCCGACGATGCAGGCGTCGGCGCCGAGGTGGACGAGCGCGCGGACCTGAGCGCTACAGATGGATCCGCTGCCGCCGGTGCAGAAGACGACCTTGCCGGCAAAGAGGTTGTCCCTCCAGACGGATGAGACGTAATCGAGCTTGTCAAGCGGCATGTTGGGGTTGCTTTTTCGTGTGATGATACGTGGGTGGGTATAAGATAAACAAGAAGCGGTAGAGGCCCCTGGGTCTTTCTACTCAACAGGACGTGTCTTTGGGATCGGGATTCGCGTAAGACTGACACGGTTTTCGTGAGGTTCGTTTCCGAGGTTGGCTGTGCTGATGTTGTCGCTCTTGTGCCGAGGCCAATCTGACTGTCGCACAGACGTGCGGGGAAATAGGTTTTCCTGAACAATGGAAGTGTCCCCGGAATTGGCTGATGACTTCATGTTTGTAGATCTACATTCATTTGGGTAATTTGATAAGTATTTTACAAGTATTCTGCAAGGAATATTAATTAGCCAAGGGTGAGGTCGCTAGGTCAAAAAAAGTTATATTTTGTATGGTCACTTATCTAACACGCTGCTCGCTATTGTCTATTAAATGAATGAAAGCTCTGATCAATGATAAAAAAAGAACGCTGCCATTCCAAAACTGCCATCAATAATCACATGAATTTAGTGGATGCATGGACCAATACACAACCGATACTTCCTGTAACACGGACCGAGGTAGTGGCGAAAGAGAAGAAGAGCCAGTTGGTTGTATTCAGCATTGAACAAGCCCATTGTCCGTAATGGAAAACATGTCGAAACCGTAGCATTGCCGTCCGCTGGGTTTCGTAAGGCTTTGGATGAGCAGACGAATGCAAGGTGGCACACACGTGCGGCGTGCCTTGTTTATTCAGATTCGCTCGTCCAACGTCTGTTGCTTCTCTCTATCAACGTTTGGGATGTTTTCCATGAATTTGACAAGCATACTGCTCGCTTCCCGGGCACTCATACACTGAAGCACATCGTTGATATGCGGCCTGGGGTGAAAGAAGGGGTTCCTCCCAGCTATTTCTCGTAGTGGCTGAAGAAAACGTTCGAGATCTACAGGGCTGGTATGCGGGCAGGTTTCTTGCAGAAAGCCTTCAAAGCTAAAGACATCCAAATCCGCCTCATCAATTTCAATTAGTTCTCGCTGAGGCCGTCTCGCGGGAATTACCGATCTGCAACGCAAGAAGGCGTACATGAAGCCCCTATCGAAACTGGTACCCGGGTCGCCGTACCCCATTCCAGGGAGGTGTCTGACCATTAGGATTGTCCACTGTCCGGGCCTGAGGTCTCTCATGTCTGAATAGCAGCCCCTGGCTGTGAGGGAGTAGTTGCTACCCTTGCCGTACAAGTAAGTTTGTGCTGGGAGCACCCCAATCTCACCCGTTTCCGGGCTGCCTGGGGTTGAGGAGGCGGTTGCGATGCATACGGCGAGTTGGTATCCGGTGCCACCCCCCATCTGATATCTGTCGGCTATCAGAATTTGACAGTAGCGCAAAATGATGTTCACAAGCCGGCCTGGGTTAAGAAGTGCATCTCCCAGGGAGAAGTGTTCGTATGGTGCCACTCGCTCTCGAATATCTTCACTTCTGTGATATACCAGAAGCTGGACACTTGGAAATCCCGGGATTACGGTGGGTTCCTGGCTCGTATCCGGAATCCAGGAGATGCCACGGAAGGGCATCGAGAATAGCCCAGAGTTTAGAATCTTGTTGAGCCTTAGTCCCGGGTTCAGTGATGTAAGTTGGACAATGCTATGCACCGATAGAGTGTCGTCAACCCGGTCTGGCTTTTCTAGCACACAGAGCGTTTTCAAGGCGGGTAGATGTGATAGGAGTGGTGATAGCCTTTCGATGCACGTCGACGTGAGCAGACCGGATAGGTTTATGGTTTCCGCAGAAGAGAATGAACCGTTCTCCAGTATAACCGTGATATGAGATAGTTTGAGGTTGATAAAGGGCGCCCAATCGAGAGTGTTCTCACCCTCGTAGGCGAAAGCCAGGAGTAAAAGCGATGGCTTCGTCCTGCCAACGTCCTTGGCTCGCCTCAGTAGATACTCTCTCAACAGGAGCCGAATGTTGGGGAGTACTTCAAGTGTATCTTTGACTGCCTTGAAGTCACTGAGGTCATTTGACGACAGGATGACATCCACGACCTTGACCAAACTTATTTCCAACAAACTCTTTGGTACTTGACGAGGAATTGGTGGGCTCGCGGCCGGCAAGATTGGCCTGTAATCGGACCAAGTGGTGTATGGCCATGTGTCTGAGACCAACGTCATATGAGTGAGCGGACTGGATGAAGATGTGGCCAACGGGAATGGAGGAATTGATAACTCACCGACCAGCGCTTCGATATCAACAAGAGACTTCTCCTCAAGGGCATTGGGAAGGTTGATGGCACTTTGGAGGTTCATATCGTCCTGCCTATAGTAGTTCATTGCGTATTGCCAACCTGTGAGTGGTTGGAAACGGCTGCACGGACGGCCTGGCACCGGGACGGGGATGGGCATGGTAGCTTCGAGGCGTTGGAAGACATGGTGTCAGTAACTGGGAGAAGACAACTGATTCTGGAAAGCATCAGTGTAGGTGGGAGACGGTTGCTTACCTGCAGAGTGGACGAAGCAGTATTTGACATTGTCCAAATCAGTGATGTCGATGATGGTTATACCATGGCGAGATCCTGGCACATGAAAGGGGAAGCGATATGGCTCCTCATTCACGACACCGGCATGCAATGTTTCCGGGTTGAGAGCAGCACCCATCATCAGACAGGTGGTGATGAAGGGGAAAGGACATGGTCCAAAATAGGAGTACCACGTGGGGGCTGATGAGACTGACGGGGGATCGCTGTTACGAAAGTAATCCTCGGCAAAGCGAAGCTCTTGCTGCAGCGCAAGGCGGTTCTCGCAGTGTGAGAAGATGTGGAGGACGTGCAGGCACTGTCGAAGTGTTGCCATGCCCCAAAGGCACATGTGACGAACTCCGGCGAGCAAACGATAGTATTGGCCAGCTTTGGCAATGGCAAAAAACTGGTGACAGTCATCCATGGTTAAGACTACAGTTGATGATGTTGTTAGAGGAGGTCGTGTTTTGTTTTGTTTGTTTTGCAGCTCAGAAGAGGGAGATGTGGTGAAGAGCTGATGGGAGGAGTCACTCAGGAGAATCGGTAGAAGGTGCGACACACGAAGGTTCATGACGAATACAGAGTCAGTGCCTGTTTCCCAGCTGGTATCTGCCATCTGGCCAGAGAAGGGCAACCACTGGATGCTTAAGAAAATCAACCTCATGGCTCAAGATAAGTGATGAAATGAACTCCATGCCAGGATGTTGTGGTGTTGAGGTGTGAAGATTTCTTAGGAGATCACCCAGGCGACAGTCCGAGCTAGCCAAAGTCTACATTGCTGAAGTATCACGATATTGGCCGATACAGAATCTTCATGCAAACCGCCTTCGTCGCATGCCTGTATTCATGTTGTCAAGCACAGCAAGATCGTGATCAATTGAGGGCATGTTGGTTTTGTAGAGCCTCATCGTGCTGTAATTACAGGGCTCAGGCGCTGTAGCAATGGATTCAATTCCTATTGGTCAGGCAGGTGGTGCAGCTTGATGAGTCAGCAGCTGCAGGGACGAACTTGGTTTGTGCTTCGCTTTGCTTTCCCAATCTTCGTCGTCTCCCAAATGCCTGATGCTCGCCTAGGTATGCATATTTTCGACACTCCCAATGACACGAATTTGCTCTGTGCGGGTTGGTCTGTCCATGAGATGCATGGATAGGGTTGGAAGTAGTGCTTGAGCTAACAGCAAGTTCTCACCTAGGCTGCCCCAATCACGAAGCAGCGACGACTCGCACCCCTGAACCGACTCCGCACACCGATAGCGCCCAGACGAACGACGTAACCGAACACCGTCGAGAAGCAGATGTGAATGGGGATGGGAGCGTTCTCGGAAACCTGGACTGCCACTCGTGGTCCTGGCCGCACGCCTCGCAACGTGGGATAGTCTCTCTGCGGTCACACCTTCGTTGTCGATACTCCTCCTGTTCGTGTGCCTTCAACCGTCTTTTGCGTGCCCCGCCGTAGGCTAGATGCGTAGATCCTCGACCCTGCCGCGCACACACGCAGGGGAGTCCAAACTAGATCGTAATTTCTTCGACACAGTCAGAGACAGATACCAACTCGGCAACGTGCCCTCAGGCGGACAATTGGCAGATCGATCGAGCACCGTGGGTTGGAAGTCAACCGAGCGCGTGGGGAAAGCCCAGATCTTTATCTCTCTCGTCTCACGCTTGACCAGGTGGAGCAGACTGACTTGGCACTTGATGGGGGGAGGGGGACGAACGGGTAGCTTAACCGTTCAGTTGGAGAAGTCCATCCAAACCCAATTGACCGCGTGTTTAGCTGCAGCCATCGCCATTCCACACTCCGAGTATGGTGCCCCAAACTTTCGCTGCCCAGGACCTCTCAGAGGCTGCGGTGGGCGGCTCAATTGCCATCAATGACGGCCGCTTCGTCGATGCCTTTGGCCGCACGCTGTCGCTGCGTGGCCTCAACATCTCAGGCTCCAGCAAGCTGCCCACCACCCCCAATGGCCTATCCCACCTCACCGATGGCTTCTACGAGCACCGCACCGTGACCTTCGCCGGCAGGCCCTTCCCCCTGGACGAGGCGCCTCTTCACTTCCGCCGTCTGCAGGCGTGGGGATTGCCGCTTGTCCGCCTGCTGGTGACGTGGGAGTCGATTGGCCATTCTGGCCCCGACCCCTCCGCCGATCTAGACCTAGAGTACATCGCCTATCTGCGTCAGCTCATCCAGATGATGCCCCAGTACGGCATCAAGTGCTTCATCTGTGCCCACCAGGATGTCTGGAGCCGGTTCAGCGGTGGCAGCGGCGCGCCCGGCTGGACGTTCGAGGCGGCAGGGCTGGATATCGAGGCTTTCCCCGACACTGGCGCTGCCTATGTGCACGGCCAGGACGAGATGAGGCGAGCCAACGCCCCCGTCAACGAGAAGGAGCCCAGCGGTCCATTCGTGTGGCCCTCGGGGTACCAGAAGCTGGCAGCATCTACCATGGCCACCCTCTTTTGGGCAGGCGATGCTCTTGCACCAAAGCTCCAATGCCGCCGGCGCCCAGTGTCGACGTCTGCAGAGACAGAAGAGGAGACGGTCTCGATCAAGGATTACCTCCAGGATGCCTTCGTTGAGGCGTTTGGAAAGCTAGCCGACGAGCTCAGTGACTTGGAATCTTGCCTCGGCTTCGAACCCATCAATGAGCCACATCGGGGCCTGATAAACTTGCATGACTTCCATGGCTGGAACTACAACACCGATCTTCACATTGGCCATTATCCCACTTTCGCCCAGGCCCTCGCGCTCGGCAGCGGGTATGCCCAGACAATCAGATACTACGTCAAGTCCTGGCCCTTCCCGACACGCGTCTCTCACCGCTCCTACCTGGATCCAAAGGGCCGGTCTGCTTGGTTGCCTGTCGATGGGGACAAGCCGACAAACCAGCAGCACGGCCTGGGCGAATGTGTATGGAAGGCCCATGGCGTCTGGAGCTGGGACGAGAAGAAGAAGACGGCCAAGATCCTGCACAGGAATTACTTTGACATCGACCATCGCCCCGGTCGCGAGGGCACCAAGATTGAATGGTATCACGACTTTTACGCACCGTTCCTGAAGAAATTCTGCGATCGCGTATCCCGGAAGAACGAGAGATTCATGTCCTTCTTTGAACCGATACCCAACGAGTTCATCCCGCCCTGGGTCCCGGAAAAGGGTGGCCGCACAAAGCAATCTTACGCTGTCAATACCGTCTTGGATGTCCCGCGACCGCAGAACCTGGTATACGCGCCGCACTTTTACGACCTGAACGTCTTGTTCAGTAAGTACCATGCGTGGATGAGCGTGAATGTTCAGGGACTCTCAAGAGGCATGTTCCTCCCATTGGCACTGTATTTCGGGGCGTCCGGCTTGCGCAAGAATTACCGCAAGCAACTTGGGAACATCGCCAAGCATGGGTCGAAGTCCCTTGGCAGTCACGTCCCGACAATCATTGGCGAGATAGGCATCCCCTTTGACGTGAATGGCTCTCGCGCCTTCAAGACCGGTCAGTACGATGTCCAGCGCGATCTGATGAACGCCCTGATTGCGGGCATGGAGGATAACCATATCGGGTTTACCCTCTGGAACTATAACCCTCACAACCGGGTAGAGTACGGCGACGGCTGGAACATGGAGGACTTCTCCGTCATCAATGGCGATGAGCCTCTGGAGCACGACCTCATTCGACAGGATTACCGCAACAAACCCCACGAGGACGATGAGCTATACCGCGGTGGCCGTGTGCTGGACGTCATCATCCGCCCCTACGCCGCCAAGATTGCTGGCAGGCCTCTCCGTTCCAACTGGGACGAGCGCACCCTGCGGTACGAATTCGAGTGGCAGAGCTCCGGCCAGCCCGCCGCCGGTATCGACGAGAGAGCCTACCTCACAGAGGTCTTCATCCCCGCCTACCACTACGCGAAGCACAAGTTGATCATCACTGTCAGCGACGGCGAGTGGACACACGATGAAGCTCAGCAGACGCTTCGGATTCGGCAGACTCCTAGCTCTACGAGCTCCCGCCACCGCCTCGTTGTCGAGATCGGCGACTTGCAGGAGCACCTAGCCCAGCGCGTGGCTTTGCGGCGCCAGGCGAATCTGCCCGCCAGCATTCTGGATTCCCTGCCCGCAGACGTAGAGGTCTGGGCCGAGGGCGTGGACTGGAGCAAGGTGTTTGGAACAGTGTTCTTTTTCTTCCTTGCCGTAGCCGTGGCGCTTCTGGCAGTGATTCTTCAGAAAAAGTGATCATTTGGAGAAGGACACTTGCAATTGCTGTCCTGTTGGCAAGCTTTCACCAGACGTGGCAGCAGCATCACTTCATCACATTTTCCCAAGAAAATTTCGTTAGTCTCTTCCCTTGCGTACAACTAGAGCGAAGCCCATAGAATCAAGATAACACGCTAAATACAAGTAATCCATCTGACATCCATTTTCCCCATTGCACTCCCAAATTTACTCCGCATCCAGAGGTGCTCTAGGCGCAGTGTTGTCCACCTGGACACCACCCCGCTTCTTCTCGAAGCTGTCATGGAAGGGCAGTGCCCAGCCGCCCTCGCCTTGGGGCGTAGAGAGCCAGAGCCTGAGCAGGTGTCGCCGAGGAGATGGCGGAGGGTAATCTAAATAATCGTTAGAAACATTTCCCTAAACCTCAACGAGATTGCGGTGTTGACATACCCTTGTAGGCCGTCCTAGCGTGGAGCAGATGCGTGTTGCTCACGAACTGGATGTCGCCCACCTCGAGGATCATGTGCAGGGCCAGCCGCTGGCACGTATCCTCCAGCACCTCCATCGCCCTCTTCTGCGCGTCGCTCAGCGGCGGCACGAGCCCCTTGTCCGAGAACCGGGTGAGCGAGCGCACGTAGTACGGATCCCACTTGCAGTACACGCGCTCCTGTCCTCCGTCCTCGATGTAGAAGACCGGCTGGCGCACCCACTCGTTCTGCCCCTCCGAGGTCTCGCCCTTGCGGTCAAAGTACCACACCGGCTGGGTGAGCAGCTCCGCGACGTCCGGGTTCTCGCGCTGGAGGTGGTTCCAAACATTATGGATGCTCACAATGTCGCTCTCCCCGCCCTCGGCGGCGCGGTGGACGCACAGCAAGCCCACGACGTCGCCGTCGTCGGCGTGGAAGAACTGGCGCGCGGTGGTGCGGTAGATGCGCACCTTGTCGATCTGGGTGGCGTCGTCGCCGACGTCCTTGACGTGGCCGAGGACGTGGCCCAGGCCGTTCTGCGAGAGGAAGTAGCCGATGTAGGTGCCCAGGCCCATGTAGGCGACGGCGTTCTTGCGCGGGGACCAGTCCTGGGCCGGGAAGCGCTTGAAGAGGATGAAGCCCTTGCCGTTGATGAGGTCCTCGCGGAGGGTGGTGAGGACCTTGCTCAGCTTGGGGAGGGGGAAGTTTTCCTGCGACGGTTTAGCTACATGTGATACTGAAGAATTGGGGTATAATGAGGCAAACAAACCTTGGATATCCCCTCTAGAGGAGTGCCGCTCGCGATGAAGGCATCGGCAGTGTCGCTCAGCTCCTGGACTTCCTCGTCGGTGAAGGGGTGCGTCCAGCGCTCGGGGTTGTTCTCGTACGTCTCTCTCTTCCACAGCGTCGGGCCGGAGATCTCCTTGGGGAAGTCTGCATACGGCCTGAGGCGGTCGTACAGCGGGGGATGCTGGCCAGACGTGCGGATTCCATCGGGGAAGATGGAGCGCGGGGCTTCTGTCCTCTTGACGGTGGGCAGTCCGTCGTGGAGGGGGTCGGCGACCAATGCTCCGGGAGCCATGATTTCTAGTAGACTGGAAGAGTGATGTGCTGGTGAGTGATTCAGTGAGAGAGAGGGGATGTTGGTACGTGGATGGGTGAGTTGTCAATTCCAGCAACCAATTGGTTATATAGGCATCTATATACACACTTCTACCGTCTCCATCCGCTCCGAAGCTCGGTATTTAATCTCTGGCACACGTCAACAGATTAGAGTTGCATATTGCGCCTTCCAGCCCATCGGATCGGGCTCGGTCGGGCCCAGAGATTGCGTGATCCAAGTCCAAATCACGACTCTGGTGCTGTAGCGCGATTCCAGCCAACCAAATCCCAAAGTCCCACACTGGTTGTCAATCCAGAATGTCGTCACCGCGTGTCGTCGGTAGAGAGAAAAAGCAACGATCAGAAGCCAAAGATCCGAGTCTGCCGAGCCTGCCGACGTCTCGTGTTCCTTCCGATGCTCGTGATGATGGTTTAGCGAGGGCGCAGGGACCAATCTTGTCGAATGGAGGGTATCATGGCGGTTTCAATCTCCGCATTGTCACACCGGTCTGGAATGGTGGTGTGCCCGCAACATGAGATGTGACATGCCAAGATACCTCGACGGTTATTGTTTGTCATAAGAACCCGAGGTAAAACAAATATTGAAAAATTAAAAACGCCGCTTGTTTCTAAGCCTAGTTCTCGTTATACATTGTTTCTGAAATCGTCACCAACGGAATAAATAACCCCCATTTCAGCATGTCAGACTCCGTATGATGTCGGTGGGTGGGTCGGAGTAAGATCAATCAACTTCACCACTACAATTAGCTTACGAGATGACAGAGGCACGAAAGAGCATGGAGTCAAGAAAGATTGTTTAAAAGTATGAAATTTTTATAAAATTTGAAATATAAAATATGTAAATGCCATTGCGCCCAACAAGAGGATCAAATAGACAATGAGAAAAGATGAAAAGGAACATGAAAAGGAAAAGAAAATAGGAAAAGGAAAGAAATAATATAAACACCCTGAACTTGTCCCCCATACCAAGCAATGCATCATTTTTCGTTAAAAACCACTGGGTATTCGTCGCTGGTACAAAGGAAAAAGAAGAGGAAAAAAGCAAAAGTAAGAGGGGATAAATGCAGCCATTGGTGATGGCCACTGCCTCGGAACCAGCGAGGCTCATGAAGTAGACATAAAAGGTGACTGAAATCAGTCTGTTTGAAGAGAAGATGAAAAATGAGGAAGACCAAGCAGGTCAATCCCCCAGAACGAAGAAGTTGCCTGGCGGTGCTACCAGAGCCCGCGATCGGCAAAGACGCGACTCATTGCCGGCGCCCCGTTTAGATGGAGGGATTGGGTGAGTTGGTGACGGAGCTGGATGCGCTCCTGGGCTGCTGCTGGGGAACTTCCCCGGAGAGGATGCTGTTGAGAGACTGGAAGAGGTACTGGTCGTCGAGGACGCCGGCAGCCATGGGGTTCTCGGAGAAGCGGGTGTCGTCGCTGGACTCCTCGCGGATGTCCCAGATGGAGGACTTCTCAATGTACTCCTCCTCGATGAAGTCGTTCATGAGGGTGACGTAGCTGCGGCGGGAGCTGCGCGACGAGGCGCGGGAGTGGGAGCGCGAGTTGTAGCCGGAGCTGACGCTGGAGGAGCGGCCTGTGCGAGCGAACTTGTTGTTGTTGGCTGCGGAGGTGGCAGTCCAGACGTTCTCGCCGAGTCCCAAGCGTGCGGTGGCCATTGTGAATGTGTGTGGTAGAAAAGAGTTTGATAGAAAAGATGTGGTTTGTTGTTGAGGCTGTTGTGGTAAGCTGATAGTGCTTTGAGTTGATGATGCTTTGTTGGATGGTAGTTGAGAAGGCTGTTTGATTGTTTGTTAGTTTGATGTCTGGAAAAAAAAACCTCCTCAACCAGCCGTGATGTTGGACTCTATTATACTCTGCTGGACGCCATCTGAGAGTCGCTTGTCTGACATGTTGATCTCATTCTCCTCGACGAGCCGGGGCGGAGAGGCAGAAAGTGGGGCTCGCCCGTTGCCGTTGGGCTTCGGAGAGATCCCAGCGCACCATTTTTAGCTGAGCTGGCCCTGTAGACAGGCGGCTTACGCACTAAATGCACAAGTTTATCCACTGGAAAGCATCGTCGCTGATCAACCTTGAAGACGCACGCACGCAACCTGAACACAGCACCGTAGAAGTTGTGAAACTGCACAAGAGACGGAGAGTGGCAAACCGTTTCAAGTCATGCCCGTCTGCTCTAGCAATCGCTCATCTGACCTCCAGTCTGCACAAACAACTCCGAATTATGAAGGAGAAACATTGAAATCGACATCAAACAGGCACACACCTCCGTGAATTGTGGCGACTGATGCACGCAAAGTCTTGCCTGAGATGTGATTCATAATTCACACGCACATACAATGTACATCCTCCCCTCACCGTATTTCGCGTGCGAGGCAGCCCATGAGCCAACAAACGGAGATTGACACTACTTCCCCAGTCGTAGATCCCGTCGCGTGTAAGCACCAACTGAATGGATCGATATTATCTAATTCAGCCCATTGTCCCGCGATAAAAAAAGATGCGATCCCCGTCTGTTTACCGTGGAGCAGGTTTAATTACCTTGCTTGCTCGCACGCTTATTCACGATGCCGGCCCTTGGAGCCTATTTTTAGCTGTGCCCTAAATGCGCATCAGCCTACCCTATAGCTCCCTCCTCATGCTTGAACAAGGAGACAAGTCGTGCTATTTCAGGCGACGGGCCATTTTCCCCAGGAATGAAAACAGTCATAGGGCTAGGGAATATTACTAGGGCCCGTGTTCATCAGAATGCACTCTCTGCCTTCGCTTGGGTGTTTATTATTCATGGGGGCATTTATTTTTGTCTGGACCCTGATGACCCACAGCTAAATACCTAGCTTTTTGCCGTGTTGGGATCAAGTAAACATTGAAGCACTGTCAATATTGGATGAGTCTGATCATGTAATTGATAGCAATGCGAAATCAAGCACATAATGAGAATTTGCGATCTTATTGCACGCCTACATTTGATGTATACAATATAGTCCCAGATCTGACCACGTAGTTAGCTGTGTCGTTGAAAATCAGTCTCGTAGCATCCCTGCCCATTATTACTTTTTGAATTGGAGATGTTTTCAGCTCAAGCCCCAGCTGAGATAATACACTGCAGACTCTTACTTGGGCGGGCCTTCGAGTAACACAGGTGCTGCAGCCGCTTGTCAAAATTGGTGCCATGAGTGGATTAACCCGTTCACTATCGCATATCCTTTGAATCGCCATGGGTTGGAAGAAAACCAACAATCCGAGTCCGCCTTCAGTGGAAGACTATGGAGAGCGGAGTTATTATTAGGTGGTCGCGAGCCTTGTGCATGTAGGGACCCCTCCCAACAGGCAGCCGATACTTCCAAATGTCTATTTTCGCAAGCCCTCATTCGAGCCAATTTACTAGGTTCTTCTTGATAATTAAACGACGTCAAGCACCCTCACGCGCTGCTGCACCCAACGGCATCCGCCCTTGCAAAGTCACCGCGTTGACTTTGGGACTCCTGCGCCAACCAACACCTTCACAATGTCGGAATAGACGTTGGCCCAAGTAACTTTTAGAGCGACGCGTTTACGCCCTTGCCAATGAGCACTCTCACGATCCAAGTGGCTACCGCTGCAAGCTCACATTGGGGCAATTCAGCTCTCGAGATGTTCCCTATCAATCGGATGCGGCATCACTTTACTCAAAATCGCCATGTTCTGGATCGATGAGAAGAGCTTCTATGAGCTCGGCAACGGTGGATAGCCGAAGAGCAAAAAATGGCCCATCCTAGCAGCGAGAAAGCCCGTCTCCGATCCATCTCGGACGCGACATCATCGCCTAATCACGCTCGTAGAGGAATTCAAGGCCGGACGGGGCCATTTTGATAACACGTTCAATTCCCTTCTTGTTCTTCCAGTTGCGTAGTGGAATTTCCTGCCGTCTGAGCTAATGAAGCCAATTAGTTAGAGATATTAGTACTCGTGAACGAAGGCGCGTTGAGCAAACGCAGTCTCTTTAGGCAGAACGCGTCGCATCCTCCAGGCAGCATTGCGGCTTTCGCGTCTTGATTCTTCTGGTTTGGGGATACATTGAACGCAACGTTCAATAGTAAGATTACTTATCACAATGGCGTTTGAAATTTAGTAGGTTTCGTCGCAAAGCAGATATTAATTGACGTCTTGATGATCATTTGGCTCTCGCTGGTTGACGAGTCCCGCAAAGTGGGTAATAATATCCGAAGGCAGTTTTCTCATCTCCTCTAATTCCAAGCGAAGAAAACAAGGGTAGGTGATGATACATTAACATGAAGAAGTATTTGAGTCGAGAATATATTGCGCTTTTCTCATTCTGACTCCAATTATGTTATGAGAAAATAAGAAGAAGTGCACGAAGACCCCGGTATACGCATGGGCTATGAGTATGGGATTGAGGCGTAGAAATCACGCCTAACAAAAACACTGAAAAGAATCTGATCTAGATGGAAAAAGTGTATATTTATTAATTTCATGACTAGAAAACCTACAATGGCTATCTTATTCCGATGTTGTGGAGTTGAACGATTTGAGAGTCAAGGCAAATGATAGCCGTGTGTTGAAACCGAAAGCCTAGTTAAAGAAAAGGTTATCAGTCTGTTTATTAAGTCGGAATAATTCGATGATTACTTGAATTATCTCTCGAATCCTGATTTAGTTTTAGAACTTATTTACTAATAATTTGCTCGCTCGACATCACCATGGCTACTCCGTCACCATCGATAACAGGGAAGGGCATACTTTTTGTCACATCCAAGATTTCGAGACCTGATATTCTTGATGTACCAACTTACATCAAATGGTACGAAGAGGATCATATCGCCGAGGTTGTCGAAACGAGCGGTATCAACTCGGCGCGACGATTCGTCCACGTGGACCCAAAGGCAGAAAAGCCGTATCTGGCCATGTACGCCCTGGATGACCTTGCTTTTCTTCTCAGTGACGAATTTCGCAAAA